TATATAAAAAAAGTTAAATAATACAATAACATAACTAGAATAACATAAATAGAAATACATAAGAAAATTCGCAATGGCCTATAAATAATGGTCAGCTGATAAAAAAAATAATATTCAAATCATTAATGTCTGCAAATAAGTATCATCGGTAGATTCTAATACAGAGTAAAAAGAACGAAAACCACACCGGTATGTTTATGATAGAGAAGAAAACGTGGTGGTGCCTTCCTGGATAGACATGTGTAGCAGTTAGCGCAATACCACGAGACGCGACAGCACGTTTCAATCCCGGAACCAGTGTCGCGAGACACAAAGGTATCATTCGTATTTGCAAGTTCCATGAAATAATGGAACACGTGTACTGGGAATCGCGATAAAGTATCGGTGCATAAAAAGAAGACGTATTAAGTTATGTCACCTGTGCATCGATATGCACGCCCTAGTGAAAAACCGCGTGTTATGGAATAATTTAACACGTTGTGCATGTATGACCATTGAAAAGTGCATTGCGATTTCCAGTTATCGTGGCCGGTGTTTTCGTTGCCACTGGCAAAGAACGCATACGGTTACGTACACGGGTAGAGTATCGAGACGTACTGGTGTGTACTCACGACCACTTTAATGGAGTGTGAGCGTTAAATGCAGGGAAGGTACTACTGTGTTTCACCAGCATGTATTGTGTATAAACATATTTGTATGGTAGACGTATATACTCAGAAGGATTGAGTATTTGTATTCTGTCCATTAAAAAGGGCAGACCAGAGTTGTCCATCTACTACTTATGCGCAGCATTCTTCCCCTCCGCAGGTACCCTCACTATGGGACTTGGATTGACTCGCTCGAGTCAATCTGAGGTCGGTAGTCGGGGATATCTACGAGGGGAAACCTGTAATTGCTTGTAGCTTGTGGGCGGCAGTTGGACACCTTTGGTATTAGAGTTCATTTTTATGATAGTTCGTATGTTAATAAAATTTTATTTCACCCATTAGTGTCTTAATTATTATTTTCAACAGTTATACCGTCATTTATAGATAAATAACGAAATTAATATAACGTAAATTTATTTACTATTTGAATACAGTATATAATATACCAGTGTATTGTGAAGTACTTTAAGATGAATATTTGTCTTCATTAATATTTTTAATACTGTATCTACAATTGTACATTAACAATTTGTACTAAATTATATCACAAATGCGTACTACCACGTTACTCGACGACAGAAATAAAAATTGAGTAGTGTATTTTGACTGATGTATGAGACATCACAGGCATGTACAAGAAGGCGTTTCGCGACGAGTAGATTTTTGCGTCAAAGTGACATAAAACATAAAACAAAGATCAGTATATGAAGGTTTCTCATCAACCGAGGATTGTCATAAAGCCGAACGGGTTTAAAAAATAACTGCGTTATTTGAACATTAGTTTCCATTAGCATGGCCAGGTTATCAGTCAGGGGGAAGCAATGCAATTTTTTTCCGTCCAGGGGGGGGGCAAGTGCCCCTCCTGGCTACGTCCATGTTAGTTTTAGTTTCTGCGTTGTTGAATATGCAAACATTATTGTAAAAGGGGGATAGATGTGGAACGCATGTGATTCCATCTATCCTCCTTGGGTCTCCATTCGCAGCAACCTCCACGTGGTGAGACCTGGGCAATCATTATTATTTGGTATATAATTGGCAACTATAATCACTTACAAGTTGGCGAACTATATAGCAAATAATATGAGCCAATTGGCTGCGAGCTTTTGCTCATTTTGATCAATTGATTCTTGTTAGTTTCTTTACTGGCTAGATGCAAGTGTCAAGAATTTCTTGTTCTGGATATAATCTGTTCGCATCACCACAGACGAGGCATAACTGATAAGAAAAACCATGCTCGAAGATTCGTATTTTGTAGAGGAAATGTTAAGGAATGTGGCTATATTTCTGTTCAAATTTTCAAGTTGTCGAGGGATACGTTGGAGCGAGGGGCGTTCCTAGCGATCAATTAACGGACACTCAATTATTGGGCTTCTACCGTAATTCACGAATTCACCGTTCTCATAACGTAGAGGGCAGCAAAAAATCTCTGACTGTTTACACGATCGGTATTTTAGAACATGAGACATAAAGTCCCATAAGATGATAAGTCTATTTTCTATCTCGTCTGTGTAGTAAATCACAGTCCTTTTTGTGTGTGTTGGTTAGTTGTGTATGCACAATGGTATGTAAACACATGGTATTATTGGCGAGTGTATATTACATATAATTGCCTGTGGTGCAATGAATCCTTAGAGATTTTAAAGTTTATATAGAGTATCCTGTAAGGAACTCCAAGCTAGAATTTAATGATACTACTTTATAAAATTATTCAAACGTGGAAATTTTTTAGGGCCTGTAATTAGTATTTTACTTATATACACGAAATGTTTATGCTATTGAAAAACATTGTTGCAATCGAAAATATTACCTGCAAGCGAATACGTATAAAACAATGCAATCGAAAGGTTCAGTTTCATCTTCATTCACCTTGCATATATGGAAGATATATAAAATGTATAAATAATATGATGTCAAATGTACAGGTTTCACAGTGCAATCATCCAAGAAGAATATTTTCAGGAATTCAACCTACTGGAGATGTTCATTTAGGAAATTATTTGGGTGTTATTAAAAAATGGAAACAATTACAGGATGACAAAGAAAATGTTATTTGGTGCATCGCAGACATGCATTCTATTACTCTGCCGAATGTGAGTTTCCAAACGTTTTGTGCCTTAAAAGATATTCTTGAAATTACTGTTATTGATTTCTGCTTTTTTACTTTGAAATTATATAAAATTTTTTCATGAAACAAAAGTAGGGATTTCATTAAAAGTATATGTCCTAGGACCACAAAGAGTTGTACAACAATACATTAAGAATGACTGCAACATTGTTAGCATGTGGGATAGATCCAAGGAAAAGTATACTATTTCAACAATCTACAGTGCCTATGCACGCAGAATTATGTTGGGTTCTTGGATGTATAACAACTTTGCCTAGATTAGCACACTTACCTCAATTCAAAGAGAAAAGTGAAACATTGAAAAATGTTCCCTTAGGTTTATTTATTTATCCTGTTTTACAAGCAGCTGATATACTACTATATAGGTAAGCATTTGAGACAGGACAGTTACGGTGTACGTTTTTTAAAGTTTGTCTTGTGACATAGTTTAAAAATATCTTTATAGAAAGTTTTTAATACAAATTATTTTCTGAAGAAAGTAAAATACAGTAATTGTATGGTGCAGAGCAACTCATGTTCCTGTTGGACAAGATCAAGTTCAGCACATTCAATTAGCACAAGAGTTGGCTTTTTCGTTTAATAACAAATTTGGAAATGTTTTCCTTGTACCTCACAAGTTAGTTAATGGTAAACTTTTTCTCACTATTCAGATTTGTACAGAATGTTGAAAAAAGTTGTGGCCATGCTTCAGCAGCATGTACTATGCATCAAAACAAACAAAAAAGTCATAATACACAAGGGTATGAAAATCATTAATTTCTAAGTTACAGGATATCTTCATCCGTTAAAAAAAAAGTTGTTATTCAAATATTACCTGTCTTCTACAGCACACAGATGCTGTAATACGAGAGCAACCAAATACATTCTTATGTTTACTGTTACCTAAATGACATTGTATGTTTATCTACTGTATCTAGTACCAGTATTGTGTTTACTTTGCTTGATTTTGTAGTAACTGATAAATTATAAATGGCTCATAGGTGATAACACGTATTGTAACTCCGAACTCGATGATTTTTGTACCCATGGTTATTAAGACTTTTCTTGATTTTGATTTGATGAGTACTGTGTTCCTGTAGTTTGGCTGCAACTTTCTTTAACATCCTATATACGTATGTACTCCCTGGACATGTAGAAATACAATTATACACCTGTATTTATATCACAGACGATGCGAGTCAACGAATAAAGTCTCTACGTGATCCTTCAAAGAAAATGTCAAAATCAAGTAAAGATCCAAAAAGTAGAATAAACATATTGGATGAACCGAGCATTTTGTTAGGCAGAATAAAAAAAGCTATAACAGATTTTACATCAGAGATAACTTACGAACCCGATAAACGTCCTGGTGTAGCTAATTTAATCACCATTCATTCTATGCTTACTGGAAAAATACCACAAGAGATATGTTTAGAAATGCAAGGATTAGACACTGGAAAGTATGAACACATACAATTTTTTTTTTGTGTCTCTTCCAATCATTAAATGGACCTTTTCATGTTTCCAATTGTATTACGCAGGTACAAATTACTGTTAGCTGATTTAATCATAGAGAAGCTATCTCCGATACGTGAAGAATTTTCAAAATTGATCAAAGAACCAGCATATTTGAGGGAAGTGTTGAGAGACGGTAAAGAAAAGGCGGCCGAAATTGCTGAGGACAGCTGGCGTGGAGTTCGAGATAAAGTTGGTTTTGGAAATGACGCTTTTCAATGCGCAATAGACAAGAAAATATAAAAGGTTATACACAAAATATAATTAAGATTTATATAAAAAATGTATGCCCGAGTATTATTGAACGAAATAAGTTCTTTCTTTACATACTGCATCTCTACTAGTTAAGATGTCGTTTCACATCGACGTACTATCTCATATCGATAACTAGTTTACCCCGTAAATGACCCTGAGCCATTCGATCATATGCCAGTGGTAATTCTTGAAATTGGTATACTTTCTTCACCACAGGGATAATCTGCAATTAATTACAAATCAATACAAGAGCAGGTATTTTTCATGATCAGCAATAACTGATGAACGAACAATTGAATTCTTGCGAAATCATAAGTATACCTTTCCGCTTTCAATAAATTCTTGAAGAGCTTTGATTCCTACTTGAGAAGGTGTAAAAAAGCCCCACTTTACGAAACTTTTATTTTCAACAGATGGGATATTATATTTCATTAACTCTCCTATGTTTTTCACCGTTCCAGCAATCAATCCATGTCGATCGATATTTTTTAATAACGGTGAATTCAAAGTTATGTATGTACAGTGCGGATAGCCCTTTGATCGTATTTTATACGGACCATGATTTGCGCAGTCCAAAATAATATTGTATCTATAACTCGAAATAATGGTAAAATTAGTACTAAATACTTTTTTTTACGTATATCCAATGAATGTATTACATACGGTCCTTCCACAATTAGTCTAGAATCTGCATCGTCTAATTTATAATCGATTACTACATCTGCCCCTAACTTTTGTACTAGATTTATGGCATCGCTGCTACAAGTAGTTATGACCTAAATAAATTTTGTTTGTATTTCATAATTATAATTGATAAATATACTCGTTATGGGTATATTTACTAAATAATGGTGACCCGTTCAGAGACGTACATGCATGTTCCAAGCCTTTGCGAGCTGTATTGCCAATGTTCCTACGCCACCTGAACCACCCAATATTAATACTCTGTTATTCTTTCTGGTGGTCATGACAGTTTTGTAACACAATCCACCAGTAATCCATAACGCAGACCATGCTGTAAGACCAGCATATAATATACTAGCTGCCTCTATGTGTGATATATTTTTAGGACGTGGATTCACCTAAGGATGCATATAATTTCACATTATTTAGTTACCTCGTGTATTCAATGTACGATAAAGAATTCTATTGTTTCCAAACAATCAAACAGGTCAAAGGTACTATTTACTAAATCAGTATCCACAAGTGCATAACCAGCATGACAACCCTGTTGCTCGGGTGGAACTACACCCCATACTTCATCGCCTAACTTTAACCTGTTGCCCACGCCGTGCCCTTTTGAAACTACTACACCAGAAAAATCTCTACCCATTGTTAAAGGAAGTTCTAGCCCTTCGTATTGTCCACCGGTAAGATTTCTTGCTTTTCTCATTAAGTTTAGAACTGTTGCTCCATATCCTCCTAAGGACATCATAATACAAATACATATATGCCATTTTAAGCCTAGATCGTGAGAAAGAGAGGTCAGTAACAAGAGATTCTTTTACCCATCATAGCGATGTCTATTGAATTTACGCTAGACGCTTCAATTCTCACTAGTATATCTGTTGGTCTAGCAATCACTGGAATTCGAACGGTTGAAAGCTTCAATTCTTCTAGACCACCGTACGAGTGTATCTGCCAAGCTTGCATTTTATCTTCAACATTCTCCTTTTGTTTCACTGACAATTTTGTAACGGAGCGGGAGTAAATATTACCAAATGTTGATTTCGCAGTCGATACAACCCTCTTTAGCATTGTTTTGAATGATTTACGACTGAACACAAAAAAAGTATCAAACTCGAAAAACAGGCGATGTTCAAACGTGTGCGTTCGTTATTTGGACTTAAAACTTTCACGGGTATCGAAAATAGTTGCGTAGTAATCAATGCAACATCAGTTTTCATTTAGACGTATCTCACCTATACAATTTAAGAAGACTACTTTCAACGACGTTTCAACGTAAGAAAATTTGTTACGACTGACTTCCCAACGTAGGCAATATCAATTGAATGTTTATATCTTGCATTGTCATTTTTCTTTTAACGTACTCTGTAATTATTGCGTTTAAATGTTGTATATTATACAACGACAGTAATGCATACACGGAAGAAGGTGAAAATACACAATGACGACACTCTGTCTGACAACCCGTGAACCACGTGTTATGTATACCTATACTTTTACTTCTCGCAGAGTAGGTATGGTTGGGAGCTCATAAGTTCCGACGAATCAAATTCATTGGTGACGAAAAGAGCGAACGGGACATACAAGATCAAGTGAGATAGAGAGATAACAGAGTTGTCACGTGGTAACGACGTACGCCTTGCAATGCTAACAACTACCTCTCTTTCCCCTGTGTCCTACTTATTGAAACTTGGGACTCGACCTTATTAGCTCCTAATTATGTATCGTGATCGTCTATGTATATGTACACAGATACTCGCAGTCGAACTTCGAAGCACTTGAAGCGCGACGCATACTTAGCAATGCATCGGCCAGTCAGGCGACGCCGGTGTGGCGTGCTTGTTCCACGTGCTGTCCCCGAATATGTACATAAATTCTCACTTTCTTAAAAAGTTCTTCGAAACTTATGCACAAAACGTAGTTAATATCATTTAAATAAAATAACTAACATTAAGCATTTCTCATAAATATTAAAACAGGGTTGTTGTTTAAGTACGTTAATTTCATTTACGATAAAATAAGAATTATCCACTTGTAAAAATTTATTATAATATCCAAATTTTCCACGTTATTCATTTATATCTCAATTTCTATTAATTATAATTAATAACCATTTCTATTATAAAACAACTGGCAGAATGTTTAACAATATCTTGCAAAGAGGTAACTTGTGTGTTATAACAAATAATTTGTTACACATTAAGAGATGAGTGATATTTGACGCTGTATTTTTATTGTTTCTGACAGTAAAGGTGATTGTACGTTGTGCTAAGTCGATCGAGAATTCTTTCGAAAAATACTTAAGTACTCCGTTCGTAGAACAGTTCTTTCCATATATGTATGTACCACCCCATAGACGAGGTTTAATGGAAAAGAACACCATTTTCGTAGTAAATAATACATACGAATGGGCTGTGATCGATTTTGTTCGAAATTTTAAGTGGGAAGTTTGATCGTGTACATTTGTCGTCTCCATAGTAATAATACAATTGTTGAAACATGGAAGTCGAACCGAAATATACGTTTGTGCCTCTTGCCCAAAAGAATTACGTAGGAATTAATAACAAAACAACGCAAAATTTACTTTCGAAATGGTAATAGCAACGTATTATATATATATATATATATATATATATATATATATATGTATGTATACATGTAACAAAGTGTTCTTTTCGTTTTACAGGGGGATAAATGGAAACTTTGTTATTCAACATTTTTCATTCAATGAACCTTTTCAGCAGTATCATAAATATCATCTGGCAGATGTTAGTTAATTAGTACATTATTACATATCATCATGTAGAGTACAATTCAATATTAAATGTGTTTGTACAATGTTTATATGAATTAACTATATTTTAATTACCCTTAGGCATTCTTTAAAGAGAATAGTGTTGCAAACGAATTGATAATAAAGCAAGGAAACTGTTGGGTAAAACAAGGTATTGAAGAAGTATATCTTTTATAATAAAGTAATATACATTATTAATTCTGTTTCCAATTATTAGGTATGACAGCATCAATTGTAGACATAAAGCCTGTGGCTTGTTCTGTTTTGAGCATGTCTTTTTTTGATAAACTAAAAGATCCAAAAAATGGAATTGTTTACAAATCTGGGACTATTTGTAAGAGATATGATATGGAAATTGAAAATTTTCTAATTTCTGATCGCCTTAGAGGAGTACAAATTGACATTCGTTATAGTTAATATTTCAGTAGTGCAGGTCTATTTACACATTAATCTTTACAGATGTTACTTGATGAGGAATGTCCAGAATATAATTTATATTCAAAAGATGACAGAGACGAATTCATATTTCGTATTTTTCAAATGCTTGTTCTTGGAGGAACGCTGTGTCAATATGAAGACATATTAGATCCATATTTGGATATTACCAAAACTATTTATAAAGATTTAATAAGGTTTTACAGTATATTTATTTACACTTTAGGTAATAAAATCCATTTTATAAAAAAAATGAACTTATCCATAATCATTTTAGAGTGCAGAAACAAAATGATTCGGATTTATCAGTTAGCACATTAGCTTTGCAAGTAGTTGCCAAAGATGATAGAGCACAAGCTTATTTCCCATATAATCCATCGCACATACAAAATATTGGATTTTTATTAGTGGATACCATTGCTCATGAAATTACAACATTCTTACATCAATTTGGAGAATATAGTCTATCTGGGGCAATATAAGATTATTTAAAGAAAAAGAACATTAGAAGATTGATTTTTCAGTAAAATGACTGTATTATATAAATTATCAACTCATTGTAGTAAGGATAAGTGAAGTGGTTGTGTTATAGAAGACTTATGAAATTTCATCATCTCTGACTAAATAATGTACACAATACTATGTAGTATACGAAAGACATGTAGTACCTATATAATAAAGATATAATTATCGAATATCACATGCGAAGTATATACAGAGTATGAAATAAGAAGGATATTCTATATATTAAATTCTATCGATATTTTGGCATACTTTAGCAATACAAAGGCACTGCTGTACATACATAATTTATAATAATTGAGAGATATATAAATATCAGATCAGAGATATTTGTAAAACTACAGATACCATTATATTTCATGTAGCAAACACAAAGCTATTAGTTTATGCCATAGTGGAGATACAATGAAAAAGTACACTCTTTTATATGCTACTTTTAATGAGATTCTAATATCTATAAGTTATTGCTTATTCATGGCATGCAAAAACAGTATTTTCTTAAATGAAATAACGAATTTTCCACGCATCGTGCTTGTGATCCGTACATATTGATTCTACTGATATCTGAAATCTAAACTTTCAGTGTAAGTTTTCATATAGTCTTGTATAAGTTTTTTTTTTGGAAAGTGACAATTAATAAACTTACTTTGGTTGAAAAAGTATTTTTCCTTATATTATAGGTAATGCTCACTTCAAACAATCCATTTCCTGGTTCTGTCTTTACTTTCAGTTGATAAATTTTAGTGGTTAGTTTTGTTTTTGCACTAAAGTCCCCTAAAAAACCATCTTGATCTCCCGATTTTTGAAATTTTAATAAACCTATAATTTAGTTTTTTCTTAGTTTAAAACAGGCAGCAATTTTAAAAAGAACTACAAAATAAAATACCTTCATTCGGTATAAGTTTAGCAGCCCATAATATTTCCTTTAATTGCAACTGTGCACAAATACGGCGGTATTCCTTTGTATAATCGTTAAGAAAGTGTACAAAGTATTTGGCTGCAGCAATTACATTGGCATCTTCAATTGAAATTTCTTGCCAACTAAGGCAAGCACACCAATGTGGTTCTATACATGCGTCTGCACATGTTCTTTCTAATGGTATCTACATTATTATGCAATATCATTGGTTAATAGTTTAAAATTAATGGTAATGTATAAAAATTCTATGCAAATAGAATTTACATAATACTTTTACCTTATCGAATAAACTAATTGCTTTTTGGTGACGATCCCCGTCTTTTGGAGTTTCAAAATTCAATAAATTTTCTAGTGTTTTATGTACATCAAACGGTGTTGTTAAGTAATGAGTATTATGCAAAAAGTTCGTGTATGCTTTTGGATAAGTCTTTTTAAACCACGGAGGAAAGATAAAGGAAAAGAATGGAAGTCTCTCTTCTTGTTTACCCTGTAAGGTGTTCCGAATTTCTGCAAATCTGTAAAACATGTATTTATTTATTTATTTCGAGTCATAACACTTTCTTAATTATATTCTACTAAAAAATGAAATCCTATTCAGGTATATCGCTTAAATGCGTACCTATGTCCATGATCACTCATCAGTATTAGTACTGTGTTATTCAAGTAACCAAGTTCGTGTAAATCTTTTATCCAATTGTGCAAGTCTTTGTCCACTACTCCTATATCGTTGTAGGAATCGTGTGAAAGTTCTCCATGAAATCCAAACAAGAATTTTGGTTGATGTTTGTAAACATTGAAAATTTCTTTAATATAGTTCAACATCACCTGTACCAGGTACCAATTACATAAGACTTTATACTCTTTGTACTCGTGCATAGTTATCATTAGTGAAAATTCCAACGTACCATATGCCGGGGAATACTTCCAATGCAAAGCCTATTGTAATACCTAAAATATGGACTTGCAGCTACATAGAAAGTTCTCATGTAATGGTCAGTTGGTTGTTCCTTAAATCCTTTCAAACGATATGTGAAAGTTCCAATGTGATGTACGTCTTCCATAAATCCTGTGATATATCCTTGTTTTTTGTATTGATTCCATATCATTGGATACACATTAACAAAATTTGCTTTCCGTCCCATACGTTTTCTTGTGTCTGGTAGTTCGAGTTCAATTTTTCCAGTCAGAATAGGAATGAGGGCTTGAGGAGTCCCATCACCCACTATGTTATATCCTTCTAAAACTAAAGCACCTAAATCTTCCTGTAAGTACTGATACGTCTTTGGCAATTTACGTATGAATGTATTTCGTGACAATGAATCAAACCCAAACATAAGTACATTTAGTTTTGGATTATTGTTCGCAGTGTTTTCCCATTTGCTTTTCTCTTTCACCTGAGGATCATCCTTTACTCCAGCCATGATACTGTGCCACCTAAAAAAACTTTCATCTTAACGGGAAGTCTGTTCAATTTACCAACGAAATATTTTTATATACAACTTACTTACTCTTCCCCGTTCTTTGATTCACATTTAACATCAACAAAATCACTGTGTTTTAATACATAGTAATTATCTGACTTGACTGGAGTCATAAATGACACAGTGTAGTCATCGTCTCTAAGAATTTCTATAGAGAATTACAATTAATATGAACACATCGAATAATATATGACATAGTAACATTGGTACAAGGTTTATGCAACCTACCACTAAAAGTACAAGATATCCAGCCATATTTTTTCTTTATGTCATTGCTAATAACAAGTGTTGAGCCATTGACTATAACCCAGTTCTCAGGGCTACATGTTACAGGAGGAACATCATGGATGAATTTTGTGATTTCTGGATTGGAAACATCTAATTGAGGTAATTTGCAAGCTACAACTCCTTCCCTAAAACATACATGTTTCTTTAATATCTCATAACGTTATATTATTCGATACTTGTATACTATATTTAAATAACATACCTAATGTAAGATTGTTCAGATTCCTTAATTAACCAATTCATGTGTATTCTAAAACATCATAAATCATTATAAATGGCAACAATAGAATTCTACAATATACAGCAGCGACAAAAAGATTGCTTACAATTTATTCAAGTTTGATACATCATTGTCGGTGAAGCTCAATCTGAAAACTTGGATAGCACAGAATAGCAGAGTGACAAATAGTGCTGTTATTATGACATGTTGGAAACGACATGACAAAATCCTCATCTTTATTTACTTTAACATGCCTGTAAAACAATTGATTAAAATTTATTCTTTATTTTCGTACACTATAACAATAGTTGTAACATTTAATTTTCATTCATTCATTCACTGTAGAAGAAATCTAGGAACTGAATAAACTATAGGTACCCCTTCGATCAATTACTTGTTTTGACGTTTTTCAATCAATTTTTGAAAGGCCGTAAAAAATGTCGTGCAAGACTTAATGGTCGCTGATAAAACCACGCAGCAACAAAAACCAGTAAGCGAACATTTTTCGACAGAACATGCTTTCCCTTCAAAAGATTCTATTGACACACGGTCGCACACGCTGTCCGACGTCCGACTGTGTTGATTCTGACCAACAACATCGTTTGACATGTATGTATGAACCTCTGATTACCGTTTCTCTGTTATCCGGTTTTTTTATATCAATATTTCTACATACATGCATATATGCATATGTATATACATACAATGTATAAATTTGTCGCATCGGAACCTGTATTGTTTGTATAAGAGTTCCGCCGCCGTTCTGCCTTGATATCACACATGCGTAGATCGAGATGCAATGCACAAAGAGGTATTTGAGATCCTAAAACACTCGATAATAATCTCATTCAATGGGTGTATTGTTTTTCGTTGTGCTTTACGCGACACGTTTTCTTTCAAATTATCGTGTTTATAAAGATTGACAGAAACAAATGGTTACTTTATGTCTTGCTATATGTACAATTAAACACTTATTACATGCATAATGTATGTCATAAACATCCCATACCCCACAAAGCTATAATCTCATTCTGTTTGTCATAAGGTCTGAACAAAGTTAGACTTGTTTGGTACAGAGAGAATCGATGGTTTACAGAATCTTAGCCTGCGTTTGGTTTTTGACGATTTTATTATAAAGTTTTGTTATTAAATAATACAAAATGCGTATAGATTAATCACAAAGTTCAAAAACACATACATACATATGTTTTTTTATCGTATGGTGTTTGAAACAACTTATGCACGATTAAAGAATCCCAATGCTCGAATTTGACGAAGGAGTTCTTTATTATATTCTGTATTAAATAAATAATGTATCTTTTATTCCTGGAATTTAAATAATTCTCATCGTAATTATCCACGAATGGGATCCTATAATAGTAATAAGTAGTATAAAAAGGCATTAAATATACATAAATCACACTGACTGATACTTATCACAAGGCAGTGTCGCGCTTCGAGAAAAAAAAGAAAGTAGAGAAGCACATTTGGGAGGAAAATCACAGAAATTGCCATGTAAGAGACATTATCCTTCGATATTTTGTTTATGTTAACGGTTTACTAGAAAATACGGTTAATGAAAATAAAACAACGTAAAGTATATAAAAAATAATAACAATTAATTTTCCTAAATTTGATTTTCGTATATTTTTTGTTCAGAACAAAATTTTGAGTCTACTTTATATCAACGTATACGGTTTGTGCGAGGCACACGGGAAACAGTAAAATCGATAATTCAAGGCGTTACCACTGTTGGATTCCGAGTTGTGGAATTGAGTACAACACATTTTAAAAAGTTTAAATGTAAGAGACAAAAGAGCCCCTAGGTCCTTAAACATTTAAATAATTACTTAAACGCACACAAAGTCGATTTTATTTGATTATCCTCTAAGTTATTGATTATATTAGAAACCATGTCAGATGAAAGTTGTAGATCTAAATAGACAACGATCATCTTTTATGTTTTACAACTTTTTTCAGGTGAGATACGGTTTCCGAAAAAAATAATATAAATCCTGGCAATAAATGTACTTACAAATTTTTTTTATTTTAAAAAATGAAATGTACCTTTATCATTTTTTTAATCAATAGTGACTAAAGAAGGAATTTCTTGAAAACTTCATAAATTTGATTATTTTTTTAGAAATTATGTTCGGATTAGGCTGGTCTAGACTAATTTAGATAAGCAAATGTAGGGTACAATTGGCACTGTTACGTGCGAGGCGTGCGTGTGTTTATCTGTGAAATTATGATTACTATGTTTTTTGTATGTCTATGTTTACAATACCATATGCACAAGACTCGAATCAATATATATATACATATATGTAGATAATGGTAACGTGATATGCCGGTCCAACTACGGAGCGGAACACGCGTGCGATTCGCAAGGGAATTCGCATTTGTAAGAATTTACCCAGCATTTTTGTACGACATGTTTTCTGATATAATCAATAACTTAGAGGATAATTGAATAAAATCAATTTTGTGTGTGTTTAAGTAATTATTTAAATGTTTAAGGAGTCCTGGGACGCTTAAACGCTCCTTTCCCTTTATCCGATCAAGCTCAAACTTCACACAATTTAATCTGCTATCCGTTTCGGAGTACGGCCATGTGCATGTATAATACGTATATGTATAGCAGAGGATTTTGAGAGTGATGTGGAAGGGATTAGGGAAGGAACGATGTAGAAGGAACTGGCAAAGTGTGAAGGGTTGTTTTAACTTACATTAGTAAATAAGTTGTTACGAACTTGTGATTGACTAATCGCAATGCACTCGCGTTCACTAAAGATAAGTCACGATTGATTGGCACCTAACACCCCAAAGAGACCTCAGTTTGTGCTAGTTCGCGATACCGACACAGACTACCATGCAAGCCTGACGAAATGATGAGCGAAAAAAATCACAGAATCGGATCATATGGTATCGCGTGTCGATGAGCGAGGGAACGAAGTACTCCCCTTGTTTCTGTCCTGTCAAGCTAATCATCTCGTCAGCTCTCCATAGTACATACTTATTTACAACACCAACTACACTACACTTATTTTATGTCGTCATGAAAAATATATTACTTGAAAGAAATAAATAGAATTTTTTTCTTGGTTTCATGCGTTACAACCGAACAGAAACTGATTGACGACTTACGTTGCGTGTGAGACGTGATGTAAGTTATTATCTTGATGGCGGCCAAAATTATTCAACGTAATCTTATTGAAGTTACACAGTTCTGCTAAGCGTGAAGGTGTCTTTCCATGGAATCATGCGAAAAAGTTGTCCAGACTGCGGACCGAGAATATGATTTTCTGATACACCGAAATAGTATACATATTTGTACATGTAACTTATCAATATGCGTAACGTAGTATAATTGTTACCCTTCTATCTAATGGCTGGTTCTCTCCGTCGTTTCCGTTACTGATAATATATTGCGGCTGCTCCTCGTTTTTCCTCATTATACGCGCAGGCATGTATCTACTGTATGCCAGAAGTAAATAGTCTGGAGTTAGGCAAACGATAACAATGACTATAGCCAGCAGCCAAAAAGATATCGATGATAATATTTTAGGGAAGACAGCGAGCATGTCACCGTCGTACCTTCTGAAATCGAGAAATATCGAACATATAAATGTGATCGAATATGTAAATACGATCGTTACTTACACGTGTACAAAGGAGTAGCAGATAACGAATACAAAAAACGCCATCTCGGAAAATACTACTGCTAACACGAACGGCAATGTCCAAGACGAACTGTGTAGTAGTATCTGTAAATTATAAATTATGAATTAAGTAGCAGTTTGCGTCTATGTACATATCTTATTAATAGATACATTGTGTGCAACATTTTTAATACACACGTACCTGTACATTAGCCACCAATGTAACTACGTGAAAAACAAACGTACTGAATGTCCACTGATCTACTGGTGTATTATTATACAAACTAACAGGATTAATGAATATGAAATATTCCGTCATAAAATATATCGCAGCGGCGTGCCAGAACCCTGAACAGAAATGTACATGAAACTTGGTAATTAGTTGGGTCCATATTATGTCAAGCAGGTTCTCGTTAACAAATCGCTTCGTTTACCTAGAGCGCTCCACTGTAGGAACTGTGTACCCTTCAATAAATAATTATTTCTGTACATTTTATATAGATGGGGAAACCGTAACAATTTATCAGATGTGTAATCCTGCTCCAACAACCCGTACACTATTACTGGTAGAGATGTAAATATTACATTGAAAAGCATTAAAAACATACCGTCGTAAAATGCCTGCAATTTACATTGTATTTGTTATTACTGGATTACTAGATATACATACGTGCATATGTATGTACGTGTAATAGTGTTTGATGCCTTACCTGCGCAGAAAAACCGCTGTGCAGTCCAAACAGTAATTGTGGCGTTATGAACAAAATGTTCTTATAAAAGAAGTACAACGTCAAAGTGCTAATCCGCACGTAGAACCAGTGTCCGTGTACCAGCAGTGCCTTTTTCAAAAATTTAAATTTGGCGAACGCGAAATCGGAGCTCATGGTTGCTTGGCGACCCTCTTTACCCATTATTCCGATTCCTACGTGCGCTTCTTGTATCATCGCGATGTCGTTACCCCCGTCACCAATAGCAGCAGTGTGTGGTCGAGTGTGTGCACTCTTGATCAAACTTACAATCTGTAGAGCAAAAATCGGAATCTATTGAGTAAATTGTCTGATACGGTGTAACAGTTTGTTCTATTCGAAAATACGAAACTAGCCTCGCTTTTTTGCAAAGGCGTCAGCCTGCAACAAACTACCGCTTCACAGGCGATTCCAACCGATTTAAATTCTTCCGGACAATTGTTCAATGCTATTGCTATGCTACTCCCATCAACCAATAGTCCATACTGTTTGTGAGGTTCAAGTTTTATTCGCCGTCTGAAATCATCGTAAATACAGATGTTTGTGTGTTGATTGATTGTATGTACGGAAGGATGATAAGTAAAAAATTATACTCACTCAAAATATGCAATACGTTGGATACAGGTTTGTTGTGTAGTTATTTCCAACATTCTCAGTATTTCTGTACCCTCTTTGAATTGACCACAAAGGAAGGCTATATTTTCCGCGGTTTCCGCTTTGTCCCCAGTCAATATCCATATCTGAATTACAAAGTGATATTGTATAGCGACAAAGAAAAACGAAAAAGAGGATTATATTTTTATTATAATTGTATCGTAAGGTCTACTCACTTTAATGCCAGCGGCTCGTAAGCATTCGAGCGTGTCTTGCACGTCCTCCTGTAGACGGTCTTCGACCGCGGTTACACCTAGCAAAGTGAGTCCACTTTCCATCTGATTGTAAGCTCTTTCCATGTACGATGCTCGCTCAATGCCAATTACTTGCCTGGCCTGTTCTACTTTTCGTATCAATTTCTCGTATTCACTTTGATTCATCTTCTTGTACGCTACAACCAGCGTTCGTAAACCTCTCTGAAGAAAAAAACACTTTCAATTGAGCTTAAAGAGACACACGGTGATCGAGATGGTGTAGAGTAGAAGAAAATGATACGAATCTACCATATGGTAAGGAACACACCATAGAGAAGTCAGCTACATGGGCGATGGTTTCATTGACTTTTCCGGAGACTATCAGCGGTAATATAGCCGAATCTGCCCCTTTGCAATACAACCAGTGAACACCAGCGTTGTCTTTGACTATCACCGACATCCTCTTACGTTCTGTTTGAGAAGAGGCACGACATTGTGTCAACTTGGATGGCAGATTTTTATTACGAATCTGACCTGAACTACTGTTTACTCAACGAACTCATACGAACCAGAAGTGAACTCTAAAACGTCCATCTTCTCGAACATCATCAAGCTGTCATTGACCTTAAGTTCGATCGTGTCGTTGGTGTAATTGTGGAAAACAACTCCGCATCTGGCGCTGGCCTCTACCAAAGCTTTCTCGTCAGCCGATGCTGCCTATGGAATAGCAATACCCACCTACATTTTTTTTGTTTATCTTTACAAACGCTCTTGGTCTTCTGAGAAGCGTGCGTTCTAATGAAACGTATCGCGTGAACTGTTGATATTTTCGTTTAGTCGATCCGTGTCGCGTCACGTGCCGCGTTAAAACAGAAATTCAGGGAACCGAGAGCATACATATATATGTATGTATTTACCCCCGTCAGCACTGTTGTTTATCGCAATTTATCGGAGATAAAAATACACGGTTGAGGCAATAGTCACACGACGTCGTTGACACAAGATATTATTACCTGGTATTCCGGTAGATCCGGATGCATCAACAAGGAACTGTTCACTCGTGTGATCTTCTTTTGCCGAAAGCTGGCACGATACTCGATGCGGTTCGCGATAACGCTGGGCATCAGGCTCGGAGGAGAGATTTGAACGGTATGGCACAGAGAAATGCTTATCATAAAATGCCATATTTCCGGCTGTAATTAGAATTAATATTGCAATCAGAATTATATACTGTTAGAAATATAAGTTCAATCACTCACACCTTACCTATTACTCGATCTCATTCGTTTTCATTTATTCGGCGCGCATTCCTTCCGCATTCAAACATTCTTTTTCGCTACAATACATACATATGTATGTACGGAATTATGTATAACGGATTACAATTGAAATTACCTCCCAGTTTGTCAACTCGACAGCTTCCCTTTCGTCCCCGCTGGGAGGTAACGAATACAGGCAACCGTTGCAGTCTTTCTCCATGTACGTTTTTCCGTTAATGGAGCAACGCTTAAACACCATCAGGTTTTCGGTGAGCGTGCCTGTCTTGTCCGCGAACAAGAACTCGACCTGACCCAGCTCTTCGTTCAAGTCCGACGTGTTGGTTAAAGGCGGCTGATTTGTGCTTTCGTCGTACATGTCGATGTCCCAGACGAAGAAAAACGAACCGAGGAATTTTTGTAATTCTGCAACGAGAACAATGGATCGAAACTTGTCAGACTTGTCGCTCTGTTTCTCTGCAATTTACAAGGAGTATACTGCAAGATGAAACATTATAACGTCGATAACATCGATGGACGGATTGTTTAAAAAGAAAAAAAACTGGCTCTTACCTATGGTGACGTATAACGATATGGGTACAATGTAATTGTACAAAACTGCGAAGCTAAAGAAATCATTGATCATCGAAGGAATGGAAACAGATTCTTGAACGCCGATGTACGATTTCCATTTTATAGTTGCGTTTAATATAATTTTCGCCATACAAGACTGTATTACTTCGACTAGTAACAATATCATATACACAACGATGTACTTGTTAATCGATCTGCAATTAAGCATCGTGTTTAAATCGAATTTTCAATTAACTGCGTGTCAAAGATTTTATAGAAGCAACGAACGCGTATGTATGTATGTATGTATATTTACTTTTTCATTTGAATTCGTTGAAAGCGCTTACTTTTCTGTGGTAGAGAATTTGTTGCTTCTCTTCTTCGAATTCAAAGACAATTTGGTGTCCTGGCCGGTGTAAACTGCACATCCAATAATGTGTTCTGTATCTTTCAATCTGGTACCTCGAAGCAACAGATTGTCTATCGTTAGGTGTCCACTGACGTCCCCAACGGCATTCGTAATTTCGAGTTTCCCATGGAAACCATAGAGATCGGACGAAGGATGTTGGCAAGTGATAGTGGCCTCCATCGATACTATTTGCGGTGCAGTCATGTGCATGAGCATCTTTGGAACTATCAACGTCTAAACAGGCAGCAATACTTAAGTCTCGATGCGGTGAACTCGAACGAATCTCAAGAGAACGTTGATTCTCTTCTTACCTTTAAATTGGTTTCGCCATCGAGATTGGCAGTGGTAACGTAGCAACGTTTCGAATCATCGGTACTGAAAAGAAACAAGAGATCGCAGGGTACATCTTCGTCTCGAGATACTTTCACCAGGTCACCCACTCTTATTTGTTCACAGTGAATTGTCTACATGCATGAAGAAAAAATTGTAGAAAAGAGCGTAATGTATAAAAGTATAAATAGCACATAAGCAATAGCTTCGAGTGTTGTCTTATCGATAAGTTATCGAGCATGGCAACGAATTTACTAGATCATATACGGTTGAGATTAGTATCGTCATTTTCACTGATTTTAAACTTTCACTGCGGTTACATATTAGATGTATGCTCGAATATGGGAATACACTTGCCTGCATACATTTGTTGCGGACAACGGTCACATATTTCCGATTGATGTGTTTATCTTCCACATACCGAAGATAATCTTCGTATCCCTGTTTGCACGCTGTGACAAAGACAACGAAGCCCAGTGGTAGGATACTGGTCCAGGGCGAGACAGGTGACGTTATTAAGGTTGCTATGAACGCCGATATAAGGAAATAAATATTCGCGATCCGTCTGAACTGTTCGAAAAGATTCTTCGGTATGAAATTCCAAATCGTGTACTTGAAAAGTAATAAGTTCTGTCTAAACGTTTTTAGCCGAGAAATTTCAAGTTTAAATGCAAGAAATTCGTCACAAGTGACTCTTACCTTTTTCGACACGATACGATTCTTCGGAAAAACTGTTCGCGCTGATTCGTTACTCGGGCTAATACTTATGGTCCTCTGGTCCGTATATCTAGAACTCCCAGTACCCTGTAAACATATTCTATTACCATATGTACATACATATGTACATACATACATATATACACATACAAACGTACAGTACCGGTCATAAGTATTCGAGTACGTGGTCTGTATGAAAAAAATGTGACGTTTTGTAAAAATTGCATACCCTAAGCCACGTTTATTAGTTCATAGTAACATAAACATTATCCATTTAGCTTTAATATCCCCTAAACAATATTTATTTGAGACTTTCAGCAATTTCGTAATGCCTTATATGTTCTAATACTTATCAGGCGGAGTGTATGTATGTATGTATATGCATGTCTGAGCATTCGTTAATATTCACGAATAAGATCAGCTAGTTTAAATGTGTTACATTGTCTGATCAAAATTGAAAGATTTAAAGAGCTTTGCTACAAACTTGCTTCCCAAAAAAGTATGACGTGCGCGTAAATGTGTTCGGTCCGTATAAGGATCGGTATGCGAATTAACCGGTCCGATTTGAGGATTGTTTTGCGAATAAATCGCATCACTCTTGCTCCTAACGACGTTATATTCTTTTCTAATTCTATGTATGGAAGGTTAATCAGATCATCCAAAGGTTGCGTGACATGATCGATCTCCAATTCGTCGTCTTCCTCGACGGAATCCATTTAAGGAACCTTTTTTTCTAACGTTTACTTGTACAACATATTGCTGTAGGAAAACATCGATAAACTCCGTCACAGCTTCAGAGGTATACTGACTAATCGATGATGTAAAATTTCCAACGATATATATGATATTATGTACACATATCGATTCAGTTGTTTTTCCGCCATAATCGAAACTGTTATTACATACATGTCACCTGGTGTATAATACATAATATTATATTTATCATCCGAAGTACGTCGCAAACGCAACCTTCCGAATCGTCAAATGTTGTCACGCTGACACGACCCCTTGTTATTATTATAATTTGATAACTCGATAGATTCGGATAACGATCTCGAAATTACGTGTACACCGCGGTATTTAATTAACAGGACAGTGTCGTCGTCGTGTGCAGAAGCAAATGGGGATATGTACACAAACTTACGATCGTTTTGTGGTACAAGATGTCTTATCCAGCATCTGTATCGTTCTTACAGAGATTACAATGCACGAGTGCAAACTTCTCGGATCAAATTTTCGGCAGTGTCCGACGCGCGAAAGTCCGTCGTGCGTTTCAAACACGATGAGAACCGGAAATTCGAATTGTTGCTTAACATGAGCAACAGCCAGTACTTGGAACACATCTATCAGCTGTGGCTGAAGGATCCGACGTCCGTGAGTCCGTCATGGGACCCTTTCTTTAAATTTGTTTACGGAGATAGTCCAACGAGTTCTTTAAGCAGCAAATCATCGTCACCGTTACGTGTCAAATCAGAGCCTACAATGGTACCATCGAATCTGGCAGTTCCACAGCCAGGTAGATTTGTCAGCCTTCTCTTAAAAGCATTCGTGAAAATGCAATCGAATGGCACTTCACTGTCTTGTTTACCTCAGCACCACGGTTTCCTGGACAAAGCGTAAGAACAAAGTCGGACAGCGAGCTACAAGGTGAAAGTTTCATAAACGGAGCTTTGGATATCAACGCCACGATTAGAGCTTATCAAGTATCTACTATTAGCCAACTTTGCGAAGAGAAGATTATTTTCCTTTTGGATGTAAATCCACTGATAAATGAATTGATGCTCTGTTGTTTAACTGTTGTAGGCACGGGGTCATCTGATCGCCGACGTCGATCCTCTGGGCATACAAAATGCAGACAGCCAGAAGCTTCAGGGTACTCCGAATTTACCACCCGCGATCGTAGTGCGACACCATTTGAAAGGCATGACCGAGGCCGATATGGACCGCGAGTTCCCTCTTGCACCGTTTACAGTAATCGGTGGTCCCAAACGAAGCCTTTCCTTGCGCGAAATACTGACTAGATTGAATCAGGTTTACTGTGGACATCTGGGTCTCGAATACACTTACATTCACGATCTTGTGGTGGTGGGTATTGGGAAGATTCGGAATGACGCGTTTGCGTTATTTTTCTTCCGTTTTCCTTTCTTCGCCTTTCTGTTTCTTCTTTTCTCGTTTAATTTCACCAAATGCATTTCAGTTGGACTGGTTAAGGGATAAATTTGAGGTACCAGGCGCTTGGGAACTTCCAGCCGAGCACAGAAAATTCATTTGGTTCAATATCATGAAAGCAGTGACGTTCGAGAGCTTCCTGGCGAAGAAGTATCCAACCGAGAAACGATTCGGGCTGGAGGGCTGCGAATCATTTATTCCAGCGATGGCGGAGTGCGTAGAAACGTCGGCTGAAAAGGGTAGAATTTTTCAACGCGTCCCTCATACGGTTGTCCTCTGCATACATATGTATGTACATCAAACCGAGATGAATATAATTGAAAGGTTTCTTTTTTCTTTTTGTTGCGTAGGGGTAGAATCTACTGTGATTGGTATGGCTCATCGTGGTCGCTTGAATACTTTAACCAACGTGTGCTCGAAACCGCTACATCAACTGCTCACTCAGTTCAATCCGGTGGCTCTGGAAGGTTTCGGTTCCGGCGATGTGAAATACCACTTGGGAACGCACGTGGACAAATTACTGGAAAGGTGAACCTTTCCGCGGTTTTCCAATATGCGGCCTCTGTTCTAAAGAAAAAAGGAATTGTCTGATTTTTAGAACCAATAAAAGAATGCTAATCGCCATGATGGCCAATCCGTCGCATTTGGAGACGATCGATCCTGTAATAGTTGGTCGCATTCGTGCAGAACAAGTCGAGAAGAATGATGCCAAGCGTATGTATGGAATTTTTTATCGTTAAGAAATATTCTCAAGGTTGCAGCATCACTCAAATGTTTCCAGTTGGTAAGAAATCGATGGCCATTTTGGTTCACGGCGATGCCGCCTTCGCGGGCCAAGGTATCGTTTACGAGACCATGCATTTAAGCGATCTGCCAGAGTACACAACCGGTGGTGTCATTCATGTCGTTATCAACAATCAGGTAACAATATTTACAATTTCCTGTTAGCGTATCATTGATCCGTACACTGAACGCAAGTACCTTTGCCGAACTATAGATTGGTTTTACCACTGACCCGAGGTATTCTCGATCCAGCGTACACTGTACGGACGTGGCACGTGTTATTAACGCCCCTATATTCCACATTCACGGCGACGATCCCGACTTGGTGACATACTGCAGTAAAGTGGCTAGCGAATACAGGTATTCAATTTCATTCCGCATTGCAATATCCATCGAACGGAAGCTGAATCCTTTCGTGACGCGAGATACAAATGTATCACGATCATTTCGGTTACGTTAATTATTTATTATTAAACAGGGCAGAATTTCACAATGACGTTGTCATAGACGTGGTTGGATACCGAAGATTCGGTCACAACGAACTGGACGAGCCAATGTTAACTCAGCCCTTGATGTACAAACGCATAAAGGAACTTCCGAATGTGCTTTCCATTTACACGAATAAGTTATACAAAGACGGAGTGATCACCGAGGCATTCGCCCAAGAAGTAAGTGTGTGTAAGGTATACGGAGGAATTGTGTACATACATACATATTATATTTTTTGCTCATGCAAAACAGATCTTCTTGTGGTATTCGTGTTCGTTTCTGTGTTTTCTAGGAGACACAAAAGTATTGGGATCACTGCGAATCAGAGTTCCAGAAGGTACGGGAAATGGATTCGGTGAATTTGAGCGACTGGCATGATGTACCATGGACAGACTTTTTTGCGAATCAAAGCCCCCAGAACGGTATTCCGCCGACTGGCGTCGATATCGAAACGATGAAGACAATCTGTAAGCACATATCCACTCCGCCGAAAGATATCGAAGCGCATGCTCAAGTACGTTAGACGTGGATTAACGATACATAAATGCGTTCTGTTCGATTAGTTTTGAGAAGTGATTGACGTATAACGATTTCTTTCATAAATAGCTCGCTGTATAAATTCTTTACTGTATAAATTCCGCAGGTGCTCAGGGTAATGGACAAAAGAGCACAGCTGATGGAATCTCGTAAAGCGGATTGGATGATGGGTGAATGTCTGGCGTTTCTCAGTTTACTAAAAGAGGGTCATCACGTGAGATTGTCCGGCGAGGATGTCGAACGTGGTACCTTCTCTCATCGAGTACATATAATCCACGATCAGAGCAAGGACAAGGTTTATAAAAATCTTCTTCATGACGTATTTCCCGGACAAGCTCTGTACACGGTTTCGAACTCTTCGTTGTCCGAATACGGCGTTTGCGGTGAGTTTTCGGGAAAGAACTGAACGGAAATCTAATGGAAAGACTTGATAAATTGAAAAACTATTTTCGATCGCAAATTCAGGATTCGAGTTAGGATACTCGGCATACAATCACAATACGTTAACGATTTGGGAAGGCCAATTTGGTGATTTCGCAAACACGTGTCAGGTAATTCTTCCTCGTGCAAAACGGTAGTGTATAATCTTAAGATAAAACTGCTAACCCATTGGTTCGATATTCATAACATATACATAAAGCAATATACCTTTCTGGGTTACTTATCGAGATAGTTTTTAATTCAATACAAATTTCAATGTCGCATTCGATATCGAGATGTGTATGAACCATTGATTTCAGTTGTTTGCCTTCATTATCGTGTGAACGATACACTAATCTTATCTCAGACGCTGTGACATTATGTTAGCCGTATGTATAGTCTTTGTGCATACATACGTATGTACATATGAATATGTACCTATACCTATTACCCATAGATATTGGTCAGACGTGAAGTAGTATTAAAGGTGAATTTCTACTGTTACTTAACCCGTAGGTCACCTTAGATACCATCCTGTGTTCCGGACAATCGAAATGGGGCAGACAAGTGGGATTAGTGCTTCTTCTACCACACGGAATGGAAGGTCAAGGTCCGGAACATTCGTCCGCGAGACTGGAACGATTTCTTCAACTTTGCGACGATGATTGTGTACATTTACCGGGTACAGAACCCGGAGCTCCGCAGGGAGAAACTCCCGAGCAGATTATGACGCGACAGCTTTTCGAGATAAATTGGATAGTTTGCAACTTGACCACACCTGCGAGTCTATTTCACGCTTTACGCCGCCAAATTCTAATGCCGTTCCGAAAGCCAATGGTTAGATGAATTCCAATGACCGTTCCGCGCAGTCGGTGATTACTTCGTGCCTAACGATCTATATTACTCATCCGTTTAATCAGGTCGTTATGTCACCTAAATCCTTGCTCCGTCATCCAATGGCCCTGTCGTCTTTCGATGAGATGGAACCCGGTACTAAGTTTAAGCCTGTTCTCTCAGATCCGTTCGTAAAACCAGGCAACGTGCAAAAGGTATTGCTTTGCACCGGAAAAGTATTTTACGATCTTGTCGCGGAACGTCAAGGGAAACAATTGGAGGATAAAATAGCGATCATCAGAATCGAGCAACTTTGTCCGTTTCCGTACCACCTTCTCAAACAAGAAGTGACCAAGTATCCAAACGCAAAGGTAAACGAATGCGTAGCGTTCGAATTTTCTTGTATTGGTCGTGACTTAAGTAGTACGGTTGTTTCACGTGTATTTAGATCTTATGGTTGCAAGAGGAGCATAAGAATCAAGGCGCTTACAGTTACGTGAGGGATAGAATAGCATTAGCATTGGGGCTTCGTTTAGAAGACGTGACTTATGGCGGTCGTCCACCATCGGCTGCTCCCTCAACTGGCAGCAAAATAATTTACACGAATGAATACAATAATTTCATGTCGACTGCCATGAAGCTTGATTAATTTACAAGTAATTTCTTTGATAAATAAATTGCACGTGATATAAGAATGACACGCCGTTGCAATAGCGTAAAATAGAGAAATAAGTGCTTGTCGGAGCGAGATAACAAAATGAATGGAAGTTAAAATTGACTCACCAAAAGATATAGATATTTAGGACCATTATTGCGAAAGCACGGGCAAATTTTTTTATTGATCCAATTCCTCATTGCATTGTACTTTTTTTCTTTTTCCTCGTGTTGTTGCTATTTCGTTGGAACAATTTATTTTTAACTATCGCAACCGCAACGAACAGCTGCACTATGTGCAAAATAGAACTGAACTTGAGCTTGTTCTAGGTGGACGGTGCTAATAAATAGCACAATCAACATGTACATACGAGCAGATAACAGACAGGTTCATTCAAATTGCTTTATATGTATAAAATATTCTAATTAGTAAGAAGCCCATTACCTTTAAAATACCAACGTGAAAAATTTAACGGGATACTTTCGAAACAAGGCAAGTTGTATTACATGCATATATGTATGTATGTATGTATGTATGTATGCACGTACGCATACACGTACATACATCGGAATTTATATATTGCATACAATCTCCAAATTTCATATGAAATAAATACGGACCAATAATTCAGTACAAACGACGCGCGCGACTGTATGCAGGCGATCGATAAATTAAGTTACCTAACTTCTGAATAGAAAAAGGCGACTTTAGTCCCATTCACTTTTTCTCAGTTAAATGCAATTAATATTCGGCTGGTAGTAATGTATTGAACTGATTCTCGAGCGTATTGAATACATTAAGAAACCTGTCATGCAATAAATGTATGCAACCTTGCGTTTCATGGCTTTTAACTAGTGACTTATCAAGCGACCGTGAGTATTCTGTCGCCCAACAACGTTACACATTTTGCTATTACTTCTGGAGAACAATTAATACAGAGATCGCTAAACGACTTTAAGGTACCTAAATGATTATTGACATATAATGTATCGTAGTTGTGGGAATTAAACACACGCGTCTACAGAATGAAAGGTACGAATTCCGTAATTAAATACACTTACCATTTTTATTATAAATAAAAAACCATCGAAGCGTTATCACTTTTTCCTTGTGTCGGCAGCCTATGATTTTATTCGCTGTAGAACAAGCAGTCTTGATTATTCTTTTGTATACGCTATTTTTTTAAACGAGAATCGAATCACCAAAGTAAGAGTTTTATTATTTTCGTTAGAAACTAGTTGACAACGGTACCAACCATTAAAAATTATCGAATTCACTTCAATCTAACACAACTTTCGATCGGTTTTGCACTTGCAAGTGTTAAGTTAATACGGCGATTCATTCGGAAAAATGTGTCTCGAAGTGAATCGTTCAGTTCACCGACTGACTGGTAACATGGGAACAAGCAGAAACGGTAACAGAGATATTCTATCGTGGTACCGGATAAAAAGTTCTTTATCCGTACATCGGCAATCACCGATACATACTCAAGTCTATCAGAAAACAGAAAGATAAGCAATTTCCGGGCTTATCGAACAAATTTTTGCGTTTGGCGCGTTACATCTTCCTTGTGTGATTTATCAAGCAAAAGCCGTTTAATGTTTTACGAACAAATTACATTGGAAAGGTGACATTTCATATTTTTAAATGTATAAAACTAATTGCTGGTTCTTAGATTTATTTTTTTACCATGATTGATTTATGTAAATTCACAACCGGTCCACCCGATAAATATACATACATGTATACATATATTTAATAATTTATTTATTACACGTATCATAATTAGTGAACGGTATGTTAAAACGAAAGGAGTACTACACTGATTGCCACGAAAAATAAATCTCGTTAATCGCTACACCGTTTGAGCGGGCTAATTTGAACGCGGCCTATCTGTTTCGTTTGCGAAAATTTGAATTCGAATCGAATTTGCCGCGAAAAGGTGGCGGTGGCGGTTGCGGATTCGTCCGGCAGGTGGCAGGTATGTTTGAGGGGTAGACAGTGGCCAGGGCACGATTACGATTAATCCAGTAAGTCAGTCAGTTGCATACGGTTGCCCAGTACGATGGTGATGGGTATGTGTAACGGTCCGTCGCGTTGCGTAAGCGTTTAAAAGAGCGAGCGAGACAAAACGGAAGGAAAAACTGTGGTCGGAGGAATTTCAATCGTGTCTCGCACTATCGTCGTCGAACCAAGCGCACTGCCAGCCGCGGATCAAGAGATATGCCGAAGAGTGGAGTCGAGTATTGTTAAAGCTACAAAGGATGCAACTGGATTTTCCATTGAAGGATCGGTAACGAACGAGGAGCAACAGCAGCAGCAGCAGCTTGTCACAGAGAAAATGTCGCCGATAAAGACCAACAATGGTTCACTGGGGAACACAACGACTCCCATGCTCAGTCATTTGAAGTACGAGCATTTCGTCGCCGGTATATCAGGCGGTGTAATCTCAACATTGATGCTGCACCCGTTGGATCTGATCAAGACCAGGTTCGCAGGTAAGAGTCGACTACATCGCCGCTAACGCCGAAATAACGGTGCGATGCAAATGGCGGGTATATACTGAGATACATACATAAGTGATTTCCTCTCGAGATACACGTGGTCTTTCCTACTGACTGACACTACTGACGCAATCCGTGGACATGGGGAATTTCGTCCGTATTCATCCGCCTGACTCATTTCTTGCATTTTCCGTGCTATCATCTTAATTAGCAATCGAGAAAAACTAACCTGACTGGTTCTACCAAATTGTAACGCGGGAGAGTACCGACTAAATGTTCCCCTGCCCTCCCCCCCCCCACCCACTGCGATTAGCTTCGTGGAAATAAATTATTGATACTTCGGGAAATTCCCTTTTTTATTTCTTTGTTTTTTTTTTTGTTTGATTAATGAACTCTATGCATTGACGTCAGATACATACATTGTTGTAGTAAAAGCAGTTGAACTAAATTTAAATTATTTCGAAAGAGGAAAGAAGAGAATCAGTGTTAGCATTAACGTATTTGTGTCTGGTGCATTACGTATTGATTTAAGATTATTTGACACATGAACATGAATATGTTGTGAAACCATTCTTTGTTAAAATGAAACCTTACAGCACTACATTCGCTTCGATTCATTTTTTTCGTTGCTTGTCGTGAAATTGAAAACTTAAAAAGTGAATTCTCTATTAGTCTCTTCTTTTGTGTTAAAATCTATACTACATTGTTGTACAGAGTTAAGTTTAAGGATACCAATGGCGAGTTTAGGATTCGTTTCGTTGAAAAGTTATGAGGCGAGAAAGATTGCGAAATTTTATATATTTTTTAAACTTTATTGTGACAATTATTGTGCTTGTTACGTATGATTGGTTGTGGAGAAGATAGGAGTAGAGTTCATCTTTCACGTTTAAATTTGTAAACACAGTGGTGTGAGTTGGTTAGACTTGAGTTATAGGTCTGTGTTTGTATAATATATATTATGACCCGTGTTGTTTTGTGTTTTTTGTTTTTAAAGCATTATACTGATTTGAGTTGAGTAGGTCACATTAAAGGTTACAAAATACGTGAAAATTTCGTAGTATTTTTTGTTTAATAACTTTTTAATGTATAGATTCTTAAACTCAAAATTGATATTTTTGCATGTTATTCGATACATACACTCGATCAATATAAATTACGGTACAAATAATGTTTCCGAAAGGAAAAGTTTACCTTTTGACTGTATTTAAAGTGAAAGTTCCCGTACTGTTAACACGTTTTTTAGCGTGACCTCAGATCCATACCACATGCGAAGAAATATACGCTATTTAGTACGTACAGACAGTGTGGATTTGCATATTCAAGTTCACAAACGTAGTCGTTGCCCGAGTGCTTGAAGTATGATTCAGTGATGTTCCGGGTCGATGATCGTATTGGATTGAGCGACATGGGGGGACTGAAAAAGGCACGTGGCGTTATCGAGAAGAATCAAGAAGTATTTTTGACCGTTGGAAAAACACTGGCCATGGACTTTTCGTTCACAGTGTTTGAAATTTAAAATTATGGTATCAGCGGTTGACTATTAAGTCGTAGTTATCTTGTATCGCGAAGCTTCTAATCGGATTTTAAAATAGTTCGTATCCGAGTGTATTACAGTAATAACTGTATGTATTAAGGACTGTAGATTAATAAGCGAATGAAGCTGCAATTGCTTAGTTTTGACAGGTCAAATTAAACGCGGAGATTGTACGACTTCAGATGAAACAGAAAGTGATCGCCGACTTTCGACCATGTTTAAGCATGGGAAGTAGAAATTCCTGTTCGATCTGACAAAGATAATTTGAAATTGAAACTTGTAACGCGTCGTATACATATATACATACATATAGGTATTTACCTATGGTGCATCGATACCGACAATGGGTACTGTTCTCTATTGTTTCTTCCTATTGCGTGTTTGATGTAACGAACATACGTCATCAAACGTTCGGTCGTATTTTATTTAATTCCATTCAAGGAGACGTTCATATTCGTTGACGTCAATTTGTCTGTTGAAATATTTTCAAAACTCATGTTAAACAGAATGTGCTTCATGAATAATGCGTCCTTTTAATGTTGTTTAAGTGCGGTCAGTGGGTGATCGTGGATGATACAATGAGTACAATGATAATGTATCATGAAATTACTTATTCGTGACAGATAAATAGGTAGTGTGCATGTATATATGTACATATTTATTAGCAACTTCACCAGTTTACCTATCTGTGCTATAGACTTTTAGTCTTCTGTTATCAACGTCAGACAGATGACGGGGGTGTCCAAAGAGGGCTCGTTCGTGGACGTATTTTCGTCGTAAAATTCGTTGGCCGTACACCAAACCGCAAGAAATTCCGCGGATTGCGTCAGACGCACGTGATATTAAACGACGACCAAAATTTTAACGCGTCCCCTCGCCCATTGATATCGTTTACAAACGCAGTGAAATTCTATTAAAATTTTCGGACGGATGACACACGAATTGCACCAGCGTCTTACTTAAAATACATATAATATATACCGATACCTAGTCTTTCTATATATATAAACTTGCATATGTATATACATATGGATGTATGCAATTGCGGGGTCCCATGCGTAAATGAACATAATGTTCACAACATTTTGTGTTCTATGAGTGAATGCGCTATTTTCGCGTACTTGAATGCATGTAAATTTACCACATTCTCCTGAATTCCGCTATAGAGCACAGGCATATGTATTATTTGTTGTACCGCTAAAAGATTTTGCAAATTTGCGATTTGTACATACGCTAAAGTATTTGTAAATTGTATATTGCACGGGGATTATCTTATCGTACCTAATAAATCTCTCGTGCGTTCGGAGAATATTTTGTACATAGATATCGTTTCTTTGTTGCTCTTCACGAAAAGTTATACGACACGTATACGCTTTCGTTTGTTTGAATTCTCGATTGAAAGGAATAATCGACTCGGTAACTGAAAATAAAATAATACATAAAAAAAATAAAATACATACTCGCAAACGATAAACGGAGTGGGAAAAAAACAATTAGATTTCGTCTATCGCGAGTGGCTTCTTCGTAAGTATATGTATGGTATATGTATATATATACATATATGTATACAGCTAGTTTCGTGGTGAGTAGGTAAAAGCAGGAGAGGGGACATAATTCTGGACAATGATACTACTAAACAATTAATCAAAATGTGGGAACCCGTTTTTATTTATTTTTTTCTTCTTGCAGTACAGGATGGTCATTCGCGCAGTGGTCCGCAATACCAAGGCCTCAAAAGCGCGATCGTACAAATTGTTAAGACTGAGGGTGTGCAAGGACTTTACAAAGGTGTGACACCCAATGTTTTAGGATCTGGCGGTGCGTGGGGTTGCTACTTTTTTTTGTAAGAACCTCTATTGATCGTTAGATCGAAACATCGTATCCGTAACATCGTGTTTGATTAGTTATAATACATAAGAATTACTCTTGTTTAGCTACAACACCATTAAAGGTTGGATCCAAGGAGGAAACACTAAAAAACCTTTGGGTCCTTCGTGGCATATGTTCGCCGCAGCCGATGCTGGAATTCTTACCTTACTTATGACCAATCCACTTTGGGTAGTAAAGACACGTTTGTGTTTGCAGTATAGAGACGATAAGAATCTTCCAGAAAGGCTTCGATACAAAGGCACAGCAGACGCAATCAAAAAGATTTACAGAACAGAAGGGATCTATGGATTGTACCGGGTCAGTGAACTCAAGATTGAATACGGAAAAGGATAGACATGCACAATCTTACAAATGAGCATGGTTTTAATACGCGGTTTTTTAAAAATTTTTCAGGGTTTTATTCCTGGAATGTTTGGCGTCTCACATGGTGCTATTCAGTTTATGGTGTATGAAGAGTTAAAAAACTGGTACAATGGTTATCTGAATTCTCCAATTGACACCAAATTGGTAAGTATAGTAGCAATCCATCGAAAAGATTAACTTGATTCACGTAGAGATCAGTCTACGAGTAACAATATTGTATATTCCATGCAGAACACAGAGGAATACATATTCTTTGCGGCAGTTTCAAAACTGATAGCTGCAGCTTCAACCTATCCGTATCAAGTAGTACGAGCTCGTCTTCAAGACCATCATCATAACTATAGTGGCAGCATTGAATGCGTGCGAGCGATATGGAGGTCAGAAGGCATAAAGGGTTTTTATAAAGGCTTAACACCATACCTTATACATGTTACACCAAATATTTGTTTAATTATCGTAGTATATGAAACACTTTCTAATGTGCCTACAAAATCTCATTGACTTTTTAGATTACATTAATCTAATCTAATTTTTTAACTGTAGATCAAAAAGAAAACATATTGGTTTCGTTTAAATATTCACAGTTTACCTGCATTGAGTTATGCTTTGATATTGGATTTATCCAGCCCCACGGTCCACTAACTGAATAGAAGTAATCAGCAAATCATATTCTTTTATTTTCTTTTTTTTTTCTCTTTTTCAAGCATGACTTGTATTTCGAATCTTTGATGTCCTTTGCCAGTCGAAGGTACACACGAAACAGTATTATTAGAAAAAATGCAGTTACTCTCGTACATATACATTTGTACAAATGTTGAAAGAGTACTTGTGTCGCATTGAAGTATGCACTTCCGTCACACCGTTCCTTATTTCAGATTGGCATAAGTCAATTGAGAAGTATATACCAAGGTTGTTACACAACACTTGTAACATCTTTCTCCGAAATCGTGAACGTTGTGATACTTGATGGTTTTAAAGTCTACAGCTCTTCAATTAACTCGGACAATATTTCTGGGGATTCATTTGCAAAGATAATTCATGGAACATACGAAAGGATATTAGTGAGAATATTTTTTATCGTTCTTGATAATAATGTGTCATGGAAATTATCAAATTGCAAGTGTCTCGAGACTCGAGAGATAGATATATAATTTTAATATTTTTATTTAAGTTTATTTTCGAAGGATATAGGAACTGCAATACAATGTTTTTTATCACGACGAATTTTAGATCATCTCTGATATAATATACATTACTTCGTGCTGTTCCAGCTAAGACGATTGATTTATATTAACGATCAGTTATTTTAATTTGTTATTACGAGAAAATACACACCTACTAAGCAAGTATTATTTCATATACTCTTGCATTATTCGATGTGATTTTTGAAGTAGTAATAATCGATAATCTGTAGGAATCGTTTCGGCATATGTTTTATTTATTCGACAATGTGTGTCCATTTTATTTCCATATTATAGTAATCATCTTTCGGGCTGGCATTCGTAAATTGCGACCCGCGTCACAGTTATTTACTTTCTGGCTGAAATTATAATCAATGGCTCTGACTAGCAGAGATAATTATTTCTTTCTTTCTTTTTTTGATTACGAACATTTTTATTTTGATGTTCTTATCCGATTGTGAATCCATAACTAGTAAAACATACTATTTATTCTATAAGATGGCCGACGGATAATAAAATGTGTATTAGTTGAATTTACAATTTAAACGGTTATGTAATTGCATGAACGACGAATTACACGTGCGCTGCTTGCATTATCGATACACGTATGTGAGCAAGGATAAGTGATGAGAGAGTTTTGATGTCTTTGCGTGATCGGCGCATCACGGTGTCGACCCAGTCTCACATGGCAGGAATATATCTGATAAGAGTTTCGCGTTGGAGTGTAATGATTGTCTACAATTACATTGTTCACCGGGCCATCATTATATTTATTGTATGGATTTAATAAGTACCTCGTTTCGAGGCAACTGTGTTAGATGAATGTTGCAATGTTCGTTGTAGAGTCTGGTACTCGGAGCAATCGAAGTGTAGCAATAAAACTTAATATCATTGTAACTTTTAATAAGTAGGCCGAATTTATTTATACGGATTTTTGAGGGAATAATCGTGGACGACTTAATAAATACACAGCAACGCTCTAACGATTGTTTCACGGTTTAATTAGCTGCAGGTTTATTGGGACACTGTTTATTTCCATTGAAAACGTATATTTGAGGAATTTGTGTTTCGCAGTAGCAGTAACAGTAACAGTCACTGGTGGGAATATATACGTACATCAAAGAAAAATGTTTACACTGGTGGTGAGCACTGGATTACCAACATTCTAGGTTTTCGATCAATTATTCGGATAAATCCTTCGAACTTTGATGGCCACATTTCGCATAGTTTCGCGCCCTTACGTGTGTTGTTTCTTGAACACTTACGAGTAAATTAATTGCTGTGGCGGGTCCGCAGATATTAGCTCGTCAAGATATGTGAGAGGATAATCTCAATCTCTCTTTACGTGTGCTTGAGCGTATGATTGCGTATAATAGGCGAATGTAACCGCGATAAAACGAATCATTTGTGAAACCACCAGCAGTACGATTTTTGGACGTATTAAGTTGTATTTGTATTCAGGAGATATCACTGTGATGAAAAATCATTTCGACGAGAAATAAATAATGCGAAATTGGAAACCTGTGGATTTTACGATATACATACACATATAATACTCCTTCATCCACTTCTCTGATTTTATGAACGTGTCTAAATGTTTAAGAAAATTGTTTTCTGTGTTTCTATTTTGACATTATTGCGAGAGTCGCGATCCGGTCTAAAACGAAGCAAAGAATTAATGAAATCACAGAACCCGACATGTTCTACCGTTTTTCAACATCAAAGTATCACGTGTACGATTGTGACGTACGATTATTTCTGTTAAACACCGAGTTTGAACTTTTCAAAAACGACAAGAATCGTACGTATTTGGTGGGAATGAAAAAATACCATATAAGCTTCTTCGTAATCTATACGCCAGGATGAAATAAATAACGAAAGCGTATTACTGGTGGTTAATTGCAGATTTGAAGGGTGGCATGGCTTTTACAAGGGTCTGAGTGCGAACCTAACCAGAGTGACTCCAGCGACCGTAATCACGTTTGCCGTTTATGAAAATGTGTCTCACTATCTTCAGGAACTCAAACAGAGACACAAGATTGAGGAAGAAAAGAGACACCTGCCCGTTCTGATTAAGAAAGTTGAGACTTAATGTGTATCCATGGGAAATCCTACCGAGGAAATTCGGTGTCACTGTTAGATACAACTAGATTCAGTATCAGTATCAGTTTCAGTTTCAGCGAACAAACTAGAACTTCGGTTTTTCCTTAAACCAGTGAACGGAACATTTGTACTTCTTCGAACGAATGTATCTACACACCTGTCCGTCCATGGGTCGGACGGACACATAATATTTTAACTGAATCGTGAAAATTCAGTACGACTACGACGATGACGACGACGAAACGCATTTGAATTCTCAGCGAATAATTTAATTTGTTAAATATATTCAGTAAATCGTATTTATTGAAATTTCAATTCCAAGTAGGCAAGACGGATGAAATTTTTGCTTACAGTAATCACCGTGTATACCGATCTCTTATCTGGTGTTGTACACCGCATTGCTCATGTATCGTCACTGTCAAATTAAGTGTGAATACAGAGATCGAATCCTTATAACAAGAAAATCCGGCATTTCATTTATTTCGTGAAGCAATTCGACATTGTATATGTTGCTTGTTCTCAAACTGTTCGGAAATTCAACGGGAATTTAACGGTTGAACTTCAGCCATTTTAATTTTGCATCAGGCACAATGCCAAGCTTGAAATTTACAGTGAATTTTTGCAAACAAAAGATTGTTCAAAGTCGCATTTTTCGTTACTGAAATTCAATTGAATATCGTACTGATTATTAACAATCCTAAGTGTGACTACCACTCTCTGTTGTGTAATTTATTGTTCTTCGTGTGCAACCAACGTGTAAACACAGCTACCGAGTTTAATTGCGAATTTTGGGACCAACTAGAAGTCTACAATATTTATAATGCAGCTTCTTTCTCGTGTTACGTAAGTACTTTGACTTGATTAATCTGTTGTTGGCGTAAATTACGTAATAACTGTAAAGGTAGGGCAACAGAAAACAAACATTCTAAATATCACAAATATGTATTTTAGTATCGAATTAATTTCATCATTGATAGAACACAGTCGTTGTACATTTTTTAGAAAGATGAACTTGCGATTGAAGAGTCCGAGAACCCTTTTTGTTTCAACTATTACTGTCAAGTTCGTAGTGACGTATCAAGGCTAGTGGACTTTGAGGGCATTCCTTATTGTAGTTGTAGCAGTTTTTCGTGTACTCGGCTGCGATGATTTCGCTTGGAAGATTTTCATCCTGCGAGGAAGATGGTCTGCAACAAAAATCGCCGGCCCATGATCACACGGTATATGTATGGTTTGATTCTCAAGTATCGTTAATTATACGTGTACTAACGTGAATAAAATTTGCAGAACATCGCCAACTACACCGTTCCTGGTCAAAGGATCGTTCGCTGTTTCGCAGATCATTTTTAATAGGCAACCCTTCCCGGAATATCCGAAGCTGTTAAATTATTGCAGTATTTTAAATTGGTTAAATTTACTTACGGAAGGAACGGTCATTTAGTAACTCCGTTTCATCTACCTTTCTAATTTGTTTGTGAGAATATCGTACGCCAGTCGTCGATCCAGACCACGTTTCTTGATATACGGCTCCTCCAAGTAATAACTGGAATTCCATTCACCGGGCAGACCGTAATTCGCCTCGAAGTACAGGGAAAATAGCACCGATTTATTGGGAATATCAATGGGCACTCCAAGCGCGAAGAATATCTGAAAACGTGAGAACAATTCTTTCGACGTCGTTGAAACGAGTTCCATGCAACGATTCGTTCTCTCGACGTGATATCGTTTTTGTTTTTAAAGAAGCGTGCTAGTTACGACAACGCAAGCTTTTGGAATTACAGACCGGAACACTAATATTGAGTTAATAATTACAGATAGCTGTTAGTCGATGAAAAATTAATGATTTATTTAGCACTTTACCCCCATACCACTGCCCTCGGGGAATCCAATCGATCTCAGGTGCCTCGCTACTCCGCGTGTGATGTTTTCCACCCCTGAAATGCTCGGTAGCCACGTAAGGTAACAGACCAAGACGCTGCTGAATATCTGCAACGAAAACGGAACGAATCATCGTAATTGAATTTTTTTTCCTTCTTTTCCCGCTCTATTTAACTCGTCAAGATTATTAACTTTGTTTTTCTTGCGGAAATTTGTACAAGAGAATTTTATTTCTCGAAAAATAGCAGGTTAATAACACACACGTTGAACAGAACGCTCGAACCCTCGAACGTTTGGTGAAGCGTTTGCAAATGATGGAGCACGATGAGAGACTGCCGTCAATTTTTCTCGCGACTTTATCTTCCCGTAAGTTTCCCTTGTAATCTCCTTATCTCGCGAGAATCACTCGTTCGCCGCGCGTGTTTTTGTTGGGAAAATGTTTGACGGGATACTTGAAAATCAAAAGTTTTACGCACTGCACTTGGCTTTGTGTACGACGTGCGTCTCAGATCGGTCGGAAGTTTTACGATTTGCGTATAAATATTAGTTATTTTACGAGGATGTACGTTCAGTTCGGAGTAAGAATGCCGTAAAATCGTTTTATATCTGGACATCCGGAAAATGAATTTTTCTAATTTCCTGTTCGTACGTGGTCCATAGTACATAGTGAAATCGGTTCTGGACTAAACGTTCCCTTAAACGTATGAATATTCGCAAAGATTACGGTATAAATTGTACGAAATGAACATTATTACCGAAATGTGTGATATCATCTTAACAAATTGAAATTAACGAGGTCGGAATAGTTTGCTTTATTTTCTATAACATCACCGTGTGCAGTATTCAGAGGAGCGCGTTAACGATATATAAACTGTGTACGGTAAAAAATCGAAACCGTACAAGTTTGCATCGTGCTAATAATTGTCCGTGTTAACGAGCGACAATAACCGACGCCGTTCACGCCTACGTGTAAGAAACTTGAAAACATTAACATTAACATACCGTACCGTCGAAATGAGTATGTAATTTCTATCAATTCAGCACAGTCTTATCGTATAAAAGGATTTGCTACCTCGTGGAACGTGGTTTCGTGAAATGGACTGAAGTAATTAGGTACATGGTGCAAGGGGGGTGCGTTTATCATTCGCGGGACGTTTAAAACAGCTGAAACATACGGTCACGTGTAGATCAGTATGCATTAGACCGAAATTGAATTAATCATCGAATCACAATGCGGCCGTTTCCGCGTTGTTTAGCGCATTCCAGATTCAATGGCGAACCTGTAATTATTCTCGGGCACTTTGCGCGTGTCTTGCCGTTAACCCCCGCCCCGGTCGAATAATAACGTGAAACCCTCCCGTTCTCCGGTAGCCACGGGGCTTAGATATCTAGGACAGAGTTGCTCGTAGAAAGCCACACACTGCTGGCGGAAATACATCATTGATTAGCCCCGGCATGAATTTAGCGGTCGCGAACCTCTCCGCACCACCTTCGACTCACCTGCAGTCGGCTTAAACTTGTGTTTTGTGGCTGCTGCAGAAAACACGCGCGAAAATGGGCGACGTTGCGACGCCAATCACTGTATACTCGTTCGTGAATTTACAGGCGGTTTGAATAATTGTAATTTCAAGCTCGAATCACGTTGGATACATATATCTACGACACGAGACAAATTTTTCTTTCCGTTTTTCAGTTTACTGTGTATAACTGTGATCATGGGCGTGGAGTGAAATGAAAAGTAACATAAAGAAAGGAGGTACGAGACGGGACGGGACACCGAGACCTGGAGAAAGAGTACACGGTAGAATTCCACAACGGTAAGGAGAATTTGCAGAATTTCGTTTTAAGGTGTTGGAACGTAAAACGATTGCAGGCTTTCCTCTGCACGAGTTGCAGTAGTTTCCAGGATTGTTCGAGCAACGGTTCGCAGATGGCGGCTGATGGTTGGTATCTAGGACCTTCAGCCCCGCCCATCCAATTTGAACGCGGGGACCTTTTCGCCCCGGTGCGCCTGGGCGGCGACGTTTATTAGCGTCGTGGTCAAAATTTTCAAAGATTAAGCACCCCACGAGTTCGGTTAAATTTCGTGTCGTGGGCGTTTCGATTAAAGTTTATCGACGAAACGCCGCACGCTATACTCCATCCCCTGGAACGGAATACAGACCTGTATACGTGGTGGTTGTTGTTTGTATGTGGTAAGTAGATAAATTGAATGGGGCGACTCGTTGTAGCTAATACTTGGTAACATTCATTTGAAGCAGAATCCTTAATGAAGGTTACACGATGGAGGTACACGTACAGGTATAATTAGTGCAGTGATAGAAATTATAAGCTACATGTAATTGTATAAGTGCATTGGAAATTACTAAAATTATCACGATTACGCGTAGCTTATGAATGTGATTTATCATTTCCGGCGACGATGAAAGCGTTTCCGGCGTTTGTAATTAAATAAAACGGCGAGTTTCGGTTGACTGACAAACAGCGGAATTACGCAGTATGCACTTGTAAGGTGTGCTAGTGTAGATCCACACACACAGAGAATATATCCCTACGGGGATGTCGCGAGTTAGGATCTACGGAAATGGATACGATCCTTTTGTTTGCCGTTGAGATTCCGCGATGGAAGGCCGCCGAAACGGAGAACAGCTGTGAAATGGATGCAGCCAGTGTAACCTAAGAATTAAATTATCTCACGCGAATTACGTGAAGGCAAATTACGCAAGATGTCTTCGACGAATTCACGCGAATTCGGTTAGGAATTTCCAATGGTAGGAAACTGCCTGATGTAGGTATTCTGATACATTTGACGAAAAATTGAGAAAAAAATTATCATTCCACTTTATTTTAGAGTTCGTAGTGTTCGCGTAATTTAGACTTAATTAATGCAACGAAATTTTACCTCTGCGGTCGTATCGATTTTCGAAATCTTTATTCTTCTCTAAGCTGAAAGCGATGTGACGCGATTATTGGAAATTTTCTTTCAATTAGAGTTTCTTTGGCTTGAACGTAGACATTCATAAAATTGAAACAACAATGGTATTTATATTAGTTTTTCATTGATGATGTAATTGTATAGACTTCGTCTTGTCGCTCCGCAGTTGAAGCGAGAAAGTAGGGAGTGAAGTTTAAGATTCAAATTTGGAAATGAAAAGGAATTGTTTGAGACTAACGTGACGAGAATGAAGGGCGTGCAGAAAAAAACGTTACAGAAGCGATAATTAAAAAGCACATACGTATACTTGAAAGAGGGGTAAATGGTGATAGTGGAAAGAGACGACCTAGGCAAAGGTGGAAATTCAATTTGGTCGAAATCGTGCAACGCTCGAGGATCCAAATCAGGGCTAATAAAATAATTATCTTGCTACATTACCTCTGCTAGGACTCAAAGGATCAGTAGCATCAAACTGGCCTTTGAAACAAATTCGTCTACAAGCAAACTGAAAAAAAGGTGGGACTGAGTAAGAGGGGGAGGGAGGGTTATCCAATAAGCAATTTACTCGGTCTCCCCGAGGTTTCTCGTTGTTTTCCGCAAACAGTTCCACTCCGTGGCCGAACATGCGCCCTGTATCCATCGCTCCAACCGCTTAAGGGTTTAATAATCTGTCTCGGCGAGGACAAAAGGGTTGGCACGTTATCATCCCGGCCCGTTTGATTATTCATTGACGGTTCGTGCAACGGCAAAACTCGAATTCGCCTTTCAGACTCCGTCGCTCGGTCGTGCCACGACGAGCTGCGGTATTGATTCGGTCACTGCCGTTGCCGCAGTACTTTTCGGACAAATTGCTTCTCTTCGATTAACTTGATTTCGGAAGGCGCGCGTATAGTTTCCACGAATAGACCGCCGTCGATTGCCTTGCGCGATCAAGTACACCGCGCCACAGGAAGTGATATATGTGTATACGTACATATGTACATATCTATGGACCGAATACTCAAGATCAAAAGCTTGAAGGTTTGAGTTAAGTAAACCTTTGTTTTCAGTCCAAGTTTCAGCCGATTAGTCGGGAATACTTTCACGTAGATCCTTTTTTACATGCTACCCGAGTATCGATTGTCGACGGTACTTTGCGGAGCAGTCCGAAGCGATTCAACTTCCTCTCCTGGTCGGTGGCCATTGTTCCCCGCGCAAGCAGACAATCAAACAGCCTCCGTGTTCCACTAATGTTAGCCGTGACTGTGTATTCGTGACAGCTGTTTGTGCGTTCGGTTCCATAAGTTTACTTATGAAATTTAATTCATAGAATACCGAATGTATTCTGGACGGGGGCCGTCCACGTCGATAACGCAACGGAAGCCAATCGTGATTTTTGAATCGGCGAAGCGACGTCCGTTTTCGCGATTATGTAAATAGAATTTGAAAACGGTCCTCGAACGGTGCTAATGGTGTAACTGGCAGTGTTTGCATTCCGATGGTACGCGACGTAACGTGAATCGCGGTGTGTTGCCCCCGTTTAAATGTTCGAACGATTCCTCCGTTTCAGTATGATAGTCACGTTGTCTATTATGCGTAACGAGACGGATCGAATATTAGCAAATGTAACCAGCAATATGCACGAACTTGGGAATCTGTATAACAATAGGCAAATTCGGATATTACGCTGATATCGAAAGTGGCTCATAATTTACGCGAAAGGATAAGTTTCATTTGGTTAACAAAGTTACCGCTTCCTCTTAACACTCTGCAAAGCCAATATGCATGTATCGTGAATATTGGGAATATTGTTGACCAAACCGGACAGTGGAAAGATTGGCGTTGCAAAGTAAAGAGATGCGTACACATGTATGTATGTATTATCGTGAGATGTATGGAAATCAATTGTGTACGAGTGTGTATACAATATAGATTCTAAGTAGGAATTCTCCTCGTGATGAACACTCTCGATGATTGGTCTACCATAGCGTGGCTAAACTCAATACAATAACTACTTTTATGTGGTTGAACTTTTCATCTCGAACTTTTGTCGAGATAACCAGTTATGTTCGTAACTTTTTTTAACGGTACTCGTTCGAACGAATTCGATGAAAATCCGCTGGCAAGTTTCTCCATCCAGGGCAAGAAAAGCGAACGGAACTGTTCTTTATATTAAAACAGCCAGTCAACCGAGTTCTATGATTTCAGGGCTGAGAGGAGTATTCGACGTTGTAACCACGTCTCCCTTCAAGTTAACCGCCTGCTCCATCGAGGTGAACTGCTCGTTTAGCAATCCGACGACATCGATCATTACATTTTTTTCCGCTTCCTGACCATTTTTATGTTATTCCTCTGAAAATTTCAAAGTGTACCAAGAAAAGCTTTAAAGTGGCTTGTGCACGGAGTTTCATTAACGAAAGATTTGAATTTCGAGGTTAGTCGTATAGAAGAGCCCAGGATGTCGCCGATCGTAAATTTGGAAAATGATTTGTTGATCTGTCAATGTCCGGTGGGACAGGAGATTTGGTCCCGAGAGGTACTGACATTGCGTAAGTTGATTCAACCATCGATCGAATATCGGATTTGTACCCGCGGGAACGAACGGAACATTTCATTGTTCCGTAGGAAGCAGAATGTACCACCTTGGGACCACAATTTGTCGCTTAGACGAGAATTACTAATTAAGTAGCAGAGTATAACGAAGATTTATGACGAGAAGGAAAGAACGCACGTCTAAATTATGAATTTGCTACGTCTTTGTGTGCCTGGGTACCAGAGACTAATCTCGTAATACGAAAAATACGCATTCAAGAGCGTCTTATGCATAGAAACCGGTGGTGGTGGCGGTGGCGTAACTGATACCGGTTTCGTTGAACAGCATGGCCTCGGAAAAAGGATAGAAGAGGGCTAGAGAAGTAGCTCTTGCTTTTTTCACCCGAGGGAATTGTGGTTAACCGTACGGAATCGGTAGTGTCGTGGAAAAGAGGGTTGTTATAAGCGGCCTACACCACGCCCGGCTTGGCCCGCGAACTGGGGCGGTGTCACCGTCGTGGAATCGATATTTGTTCACTCTTACTGAATTTTATTCGGCGGAGAATGGGATAATGTCGAAAGCAGCTTTCCGTGTGCCTTTTCGATAATCACATCATTGTCGTTATAGGAACGATAAATTTCGTCTGTCCAACGTCCAACTTCCACGCCCTGACAATACTTACATACATGTAAGTCCGATACTGTACACACAAACTTTATTATTGTAGATTTGATCGGTTTACAAACTCCATGCAGCATACTTAATTTTGCGTAGACTTATTCTGCTTCCGGAATTAATTGTTCACTGTTTCGTAAACTGTGTTTAATACTCTGTAAGGACCAAAGACTAAAGCGTAAACGAAATTGAATTTATTACGTCGGAATATTGGTACAACGTGTCCGATTGCACACCATCATTCTTGTGCCACTTGGTTTACCATTTATGGACGTGTTTGCTTCACCGTGGTCAGACGCAATACGTCCGATCACGTATAACGCTACTCCACTTCTGTATACGTACATACGTATACTCGAGGTCCTTATGCTGCTTGGTTGACCAGGTGTACGCGAGCCGTGAAACTTACAAACCACCAGCGCATCTCGTAAAGCTCGTTTGAACATATACGCCACGGGACCACGTTATTTCCTCAGTATCATGTTCTCCGCATTAAAACACAGACAGAGCGGGAAAAGTGTACAAGGTATCCACGTTTGTTTATCGTGTATTACCGAGCACTTGAACGGCATAGAAAATAGATGAAGGAAATGTACGAGGAAAAATTGTCAACAGAAGTCGACGGCTTGTGCAGCGGAGCAACCATTTTCCACGGTTTTAATCGAGTATGGCTGCATCCCTCGGCTCATAAAAACAAAGGAGACATCTTGAACGTCATCTAGAACCGGAAACCAGACAGACGGTAATGAGTATCTAGGTACATACACGCGAGTACGTACGTAGACGTATCGGATTCCCTATTTTCATTCTGTGTATCCAGTGTATCATCCGTCACGCGGCGGAAGTATCATCGCTCGTCCTCGAGGGACCCTCGGGGCGGTGACGTCACCGAATAAATCCAAAATCAATTTCTACGGCAACGAGTTCGAACCGATCGAACGACTGCTATCCGCTGAAATAGTCTCGTCATTCCTGTGCCCTGACCACACCGCTGTCCGAGGGCATACAACGATTTTTCATCTCTTATCGTTGCCGTCGACGCCCCGTGAGAACGCGACGACGGAAATCGTGGATGTTGATGCGCGCCGGGACTCTGTACAGGGTGGAGAATGAAAGGGAAAAACGTATCGAACCTCGATAAAAGTGTACTCGGATTAAACGTTTGCACTGATTCATCTTAATTAACAAACATGTTCAACTCGACTCACCCTGCGTCAAAAAGGCCACACGACACGTGCGCAACTGTCTTATTCACGAACTTTACAGGTACCTGTTCCAAATAGTTTTCTCGATTTCGGATAATGTTCGCTCCGACGTGACACAAAACTTAATCCTATTAATACATGGAATAAACCGGCAGTCGGTGTAACAGTATTACAAATAATTGTTATTATCGCCGGAGCTGTGCACTCAACTACCACATCCTGCATTATGTACGGCAATCATGTATCGTAGAGTGTCCTTATCCGATAGGTTTGCTCATAGAACTACCCCAAAACGTAGCAACGAGCACGAGTATCTTACGTCTATCGGTGGTCTTGGGAGTACCGCAGTTCAACCAACACTTGGGGTGATTAGGGTGTGATAGAGGTCAATTTATTTTGGCAAGACTCAATTCATTGTTTGGAAAATATTTGAACAAAATAGGCTAATAATAAAAATATTTTTATATTGTTACCAAATGTGCATGACGGCAACCAAGCTCGCACGAGGCCGTGGGAAATTCCGAAGAGCAAAATGTACAGGAAATGGCAAAGTGAAACGAAGAATCGGAAAAGTGGAAGATGTTAAATATCCCACGTGAAGAAACAAGAACGTGGTGGCAGTCCTATAACCGCCATAACTCTGAGTTGCAACGACGCGATACATTTTACTCGAGCGTTCTGTGTTCTGTTCTCGGGAGTGGTGTTCGTCTTGCGAAATAACTTCGTTGGTTCTCGCTTTTCACTCTGAATTGAAATAGAAACCTGTAGAAGAACGCGAACGGGGACGCGATTAAGTTCAGCGGTCTTAATTTCCATGAATTGGAAAATGTGCCACTGTGACATCTGTTTGGTGGTTAGCATCAAGTTCATCAAGATTTCGTCCATGCGGTGTTGACGACGGTGTTCCCGACTTAGCGGGCCGATATGAATCCTCCGAGACATTTCGTGAAAGCAGGTGACATGTATTTCTCGAAATAGGTATACTCGGCCCGAAGTCTTCCAGCCAGATGCGTCGTCTTATTTCATGTTGTACCTCGTCCACTCTCCGTAAGAGCGTACCGCATCGGTTGCCCCGTCGTATCCGGCGTATCCGGCCGGAAGTGGAGACTCCCGTGTCCGTGCCGCGTCGTATTTCCCGAGGGCCATGTCGATGAGGGAGAAACTGCAACCAGCGAACATGCTGGCGCAATCTTCGCCCTCGTGGCCCGCCTTATGAGCCTTGCCGTACGTATGATGTTCCTCCGGCTCGAATAAGAATAGACGCTTCAAAGGGAACCTGTAAAAGACCAAATGGAAAAGTATCGAGGAACGTTTCGCGTGTCGGTGGCCCCCCACGATGATTCCAGTTATTTCGTGACGAAGGGTCGGATCGCGAAGGATCGAAGAAGCATTCAATCTGTCGGTTCTCGACAGTTATCATCGATCTAATATTCTCCGCGAGCAACGAACAAGATTTGAACGAATAGCTAGGAGGATTCTTATTCGAAGAAAACACGCGAAATGTCCTCGAGGAACCTTCCATTAACCTTTGCGCTTAATATCATACAATTTCCTTCTGGTATCTTGGCTGGTCTTTTACTTTGCCGAAACGAGATTATTCTGGAATCCCATCGATCCCCCAAACCTAACTCAGATCCTCAAATCCAACTGGGGACAGAGCGGAAACGAAGCCGTGGAGGGCGGAGGGGGGAAGTAGAGGAATGGAAGGGGGACCCTTCCTCGCGACTGGAAACTCTTTTTCTGAATTGAACCTTACGAGAATGATATCCTCATCATCTCCTCGACGAGAGTGTTCCCTTTCGGCATCAGACGCTGGGAGGCCTCGCAGAGTGCCCGAAGCACGCACGTTCTCCCATCAAAGTTCATCCTGAAACATTGTAGAAATTTGGTAACCGACTCATCTGGAAAGTAGGATAATAGTGTTGCGATTAAGTAGAATAAGACGAAGAATTGTTGATTGAAAGTAGATATACGAGTATAAAATGAATCGTTTCATTGAACGGAATATGTGTCGACGAGACACTGTACTAGATACTCGTCCCGGTACTCAAGTAACGCAACGATGTAGAAGTTTCACGTGAAATAACCCAGGAAGGCGTATTAATGTATCCTTTTGCCGTCGAACAGGCTAGGCGCTCTCGCTACACGTGAAAGGGACGGCCGTGGTCGGTACAGTGGTGTATTCTTATCTAGCCGACCCTTCTTCCCGGAAGATTAAAGTCTTCTTTGAGGCAACGTTTCAAAAATTCGTTTCGCCAGCCCAATAATTTCACCCTTGATTTGAGAGGCCGCGCAGAAGCGCGGTAAGATCGATTTTTTAAAGTCGTGTCCATTGAACGGCGTAACAGCTTGCGCTCCAAGATTGATGTTACAGCATAAAGTTCGAAACATATAGATAGATTTTTGGATCGTCCGATGCAACGTTGGACCCCCTTTAACCCTTTGCGAACGGAGGTATCGGTGCATGCAGCCAAGAAAATATACATGTTTAACGTTTGTGTGATAAAAACGAAGAACTTGATTAAAATGTAACAAAATTTGTCTTTACTTGTTAAAGAATATGTTACTATTATAAGGAGAATGGAAATTCGCTGAAGTGGATTCGAAAGAACCGAATGGAATTAGTGATACGCCATGCTTGAGGAGACAATCCCCTCGAATACTAGGTTCCTTTCTAAATCGGCCGCCTCATCTTAAATTCCGAATACATATACATACATATACCTATAAAGTTCATCTCCACTTCCACCACGCCACACAATCTGGCTTGTTGGTACAAAATACTTGTTTAATATTTCGAAATTCATGATTCTAGTTCCCACAGAGCGTCACGGCGATAAGCATAAAAACACGGGGAAATTTTCCTTTCTCGCGAGCGGCACAATACGGCCTCCCTAACGGAGGATCTCTCCTTTGAATAAATAAACACGCGGAGTGGTGCACGCGAACAAATAACACGGCGGCACCTTCCACAGGCCAAAAATTGATTGTAGGTGTTGGTAGTGGTGTAGCGGCATTGTGGTTTTCAAGGGGATGGTTCACGGCGGTGTTGAAGCTGCTTAAGGGTCGTATGAATCAGAAGGTGGCGCCTCAACCAGCGCGAAACGTTGCCGTAGTAGCGAGGCAACAGTCGGTGGAGGGGTATGGGGTTGTTTCTGAACGAGTCTGGCAGACCATTTATCTGTTTCTGGGGGCAACAGCCATGGGGGAAATGGTTTCCCTCTTTCGCTTTCTCTCCCGAGCACGCTCCACCCATAACCAGATTTCTATCCACCGCCAATGGGCTTGATTATTTTTGTCGACTGGTCGTCGCCGACCGAAATAAAATACTAGGTATGTAAATGACACGCGAAATTTCTCGAAGCGAAATTATTTATGTCAGCTGAATTTTCACGACTAAATTTATTGGCGTCCTCCATCGATGCTTAAGCACTCGGATGGACGTCAACATTTATATCATTATCCCTGCGATGCAACCGCGACGACGACGACGATGTTTTACACTAACGCGACCGAAATACATCACCGTGGGTGACACGGAAAAAACTGAGAGGGTTCGACGGCTCTCCATAAATGTGGACGGCCACGATCGTTCGATCACGATCAAGACCACTAAAGCCGTCGTTTCATTTTATTATCCAGTGCGCCTCTCATCCGGCCACACGTTGTGAAAATTTATTCGCCGTTACGATTCAGATAGGAGTTAATGAACCCCGCTTTCTCAACGTGCATGGACGCTCCCTTGAAAATGTTGGACGAAAAATAAACTTTGTGGTTCATCTTTTAATTTGTTACGTCTTGTCGCGTATTTGTATGTGTTTGAACACGATTCCGCATTGTTTCATTCCTCGTTCACTCCTCGCGGAAAATCTTTGATCAGAATAGAAATGTGCATACTAAGGGCGAGTAGACATTGTAAATATGTAATGATTTCACGTGGTTGTATACCGATCATTTAACTTGCCTTTTTATGTCGTTGATCGATCTTTTGGACGCGTATGACAGTTGACCTTATTCTTATAGTTGTCCAACACTGATTCCCATTCTATTTGTTCGACTACAAACGGTGCAACTTTCAATCAACAAAAAGTCTTTTCACCACAGTTTTATCATACGTACTTTACTTGAAATGTTTTCGTCGAAAAGAATGTGTAATATTTAAAATTCTTTCGTAACAGTAGGTACACACTTACGCGTTCATGATGGTTTCCAGTTTGTTATAGAGGTCTCTACGATGTCTTCTTTGCAGATAATAATGATTAGCTTTGTAATATTTTCTTTTGTCAGGCTTGAAGTAATACTTGTCGTAGCTGTTCCAACCGGTCGCCACCGGTCGATCGGCCGCTGCGTTTTTGTCGAGCATGTTGCTCGCGTAACTACTGTACTTATTAACAGATTTAATATGATCCTGTCGGAGCTGCAAAAAGGGCTCGAGGGCCGGCTTGCTTTCGTTTGGCAAATCGTACGAGATGCCCCAATTCACGCCCTCCGTGAAAATGGTATCCGGTGTCAAAGTGTGCACGGTTAGGCAAAGCGCGACCTGCGAACAACGATGAGTCGACTGAATTATTACTCTACTTTATTACCAAAATCAACGATCTTAGTAGCCTGAGGCTCTTATCGTGATTCACGATTAAATAGTTCATAGGTACCATGAATCATTTTTCCGTGCAAAGAGTTTAGCGATTCATTCTGATCGGAGTTGTTTAACGCACGACGTTATAGTGAAACGCGCCGACCAGGTATTTCCGGGAATAATTTACAATTTGTACATCGTGCGAAGTACTATACAGAACGGAAATTCATGAATGTTAGATCGAAACAATTCATGTCTGATTCAGCGTTTCATATTGAATCGCGTTTCACGCATGAAATATTAAAGATCCGATAAACTGATACCCGATCCGGTCGATTGCAAAAAATGTTACGCCTGCTGACAGATTCCCGTTCGGGTATTAGGGCTTCGGTTGTTGGTATCGGAGACTAAGGGATTATTCTACATGTAGAAATAAAGTGAAAATCAAGAATGATGAACTTGTGTGTTCGAGGCTTTGTTTTCCAGTTATTAACAATGAAAAATTCGTATCGGAAACGAAATACTATACGTGCGATTAGATTTTTTAATGATAATGACTTGAAAATGAAGCTCTGAAAATGCAGTTTCGCCATTCTTGATTTTCGTTTTATTCTGATACGTTTCTTTTTTTATTAAGAGTAGTCGAAAATTCTGTATACGTCGAGTTCGCTCTACTTACGGAGAAAGTCGAACCTTCTGGAAAAACAACGTAGCGCCTCCTCCGCAACAAAGATTTTCCGTCTGAACTAACTTGATAATCACTCGCCACGATGCACAATATTAAAAGGAGGAAACAACTTCCGTACCGATTCATGGTTGTTCTGAAAAGAAAAGGTGAAAAGTTACCGTCTCCTCGAGGAAAATTCAAAAGGCTCCTCGAAGGAGGTGACCCAGATACCGCTACAGCCCATCATCGTCCCGATGGAACTTTATTAACATTCAAAGGCTAGAAAAAGAAGTCGCTCGAGCAAACAAACCGAGAGCCAAGAACGTTCGCTCGCGTGAAATCAGGGAAAGGTAGCTTCGCGTTCCTCAGACTTTCGCGTTAGATAAATAACATAAATGCTCGGTTTATTCTTCGCAATCTCGAGAGGTAGGAGTCAGTGATTGCAGATAATCGAGCTGTTACAAGTTGCACCAAAGTTATTCTTAATGTCCCCGCATTATCGTTTAACGAGAATCACATGAACCCGGTTGAACGGTCGGTCGGTCGTCTAGAATACGACGAAGCGCGTCTCTGACGAGTTCAGTCATTGAATCGCGGTACATACGAGAAAGTGGTCTTTTTTCGAGGGACGTCTCATTAATCCAAAGCTCGAAGCGACGTTACGACCAGAGAACGAGAAATTTTCTTGGCAGTCAACGGGACGTTCCGAAATTAGAACGAATTGTTTTATTTGTGTTGCCGCGAGCGAGTGGCAGAAAGTTCATCCGTGCCGAACGGCGGCCAGTTGTAAAAGGAATTACCCAACTTTCTCGTCTACGAGCAAATCTCACTATAATACGTTGAGAAATTGTTCGACGACTCGGCTGAAATAAAGGGAAGGCGTTGAAAATCTTGGAAATACTGGACGTCGCGATCACGGGAATCGTCGCCACTGTCGTAAGCCCTCGTGACTTCCGTTGCTCGGACTTTTAAGATCCGAGTGTTCGAAACAATCCAAAGGATAGCCGACCTTAACTCGCGTTGGCTCAACTGTCAGCTGCAGCTTAACACTCGATTAATCTTTGGAGTTTTTTTGTTGCGAATGTTCGAAATTGAAAACGTCAGAGGTTCTCTGTTTTCGATTCTCTATTCTCAGTTCTCTGTTCTCTGTTCTCTGCGAGAAGGAGACTGGAAGCTAACTGCCGAGCGGTATTGCGCCGCTAGATTGCATACTTGGCGAACGACTCGCGATTTCTCAAGTCGACATCGATGAACCGAGCCACGTACGTGCAACTTGGCGAAAATCACCGCTAATTCATCTCCGACATTGCCTCGATCCATCTTTGGATTACCCCGGAACCTACGAATCGACGATATCAGGTTTTTCGTCGCGCATTTTTTCGTTCGCCTAACGGACAAACAGGGAAATAGCGTGTTCCGTCTAATTCATCTCCGACATTGCCTCGATCCATCTTTGGATTACCCCGGAACCTACGAATCGACGACGCTTTTTCGTCGCGCATTTTTTCGTTCGCCTAACGGACAAACAGGGAAATAGCGTGTTCCACTCTAATTGCGCATCGACTCATCCTTTCGTTCCTTATGTATCTATATTGTCGTCGTTATATTCGCTTGTTAACAAGGAATTATATTTCCGACCCTTCTCTTTTTCTTCCTAAACTTGCCATTCGCTGGGAATTTGTCTCTCCGATCCCATTCTCCGATTTCCCTTCAATGTTCCTCCAGTTTTCTTTATTCTCGCCTCTCTGTCTCTTCGATCACGATACGACGTTCCAAGGAATTCCAGGTCTGTTGTCACCGGAAGGATATTGTCGAATTCCTTTGGAAAGCTCTTATCGAATCGTCACTTTTCCAACGTTAGAACGATCTTCGTTCTTGTGGTTATTTCGTGCGAAATAATTATTTAGGCGTGCGTGAAACATCCGATTCAAACAGTACATTTTGTGAGTCCCGCCTGATCTCCCTACAAATGGTTTATAGGTATTTCATTTTTTTCCCACGTTCGTTTAGCTTATAAAAGCTTCGCACAACCAGGATGCGTACGCTTTCATGGAATTGAACGGGACGAATTGTAGTTTTCATTGGTCGCTACCACCGATATTTTATTCCAAATCGGTGAAGTGAAAATTGCGAGCGGCCTATTGAAAGAAAAACCGCTAATTCTATGGTCGTTGCGGGGCAGGTTGCCATTTATTTACTAAACGTGCTATTGGAACAGCGAGGACGAGGTGTTGTCAGCTGTCGGACGAAGAATTCATGATAGAGCGCAATTGAAGCGCCCGGTTGTTGGATATTCTTTTTTTTTCTCTCGACACGCGTACCGATCGAGTCAATGAGGGGACGTGTAGGAATCTTAGACCCGTACAGCGAACGTTTAACGGTATACAAGCATACGTACGTACGGTGTTCTGAAGCTGGGCGTTCCCATTCGCGGGCCGAAAGATGAAGGGAAAAGGGAAGTGTTAGAACAGCAATATCGTCCGAGTTCGATAACTTAAACAACGGAATCCAATCGCACGTGCTGTGATTTAAATTTCGACGAGCGTGGCAAACGTCAAATCGAATGAAATTCTCGTCCGATCGAATCGGAACATTGCTCCCGCTTACCGAGAATCTCCCCGAAATCTATTAGACGAGTCAACACAAACGATTGAAATTTCTCAACTACTTTCAATCCTCGCTCGTTCCTACTATGTTCGTACGTTCATTCTCGATGTAACATTTCCGCTCGGAAACACTGGGAACCCGATCTAGCAGCTGCCGAAAAATATTTCTTGAATATAACGTGGAAATATCCAAATATTGGCACGATACATTAACATACCGTGCGAGTTTTCAACGGAGCATCGCGTCCGCTGTAAATCTCAATTGGAATTTTGGTAATATTTCTGTTGATTGTATGATAAAATGCCTCGCCGACAACAAAATGATCTTCTTTTCAAACGGATGGTTTGCACGGTGCGCCAGGGGTGCGTTTATTGCGTCGCTCAGCGACATTTCGCGGCGTTCATTTTTCTTTCCCGCGTTTTTTGACGGATCACCGCGACGATTCTCGAAATTGTTTCGGCCCTTGAAATATGGTTTCGTCTCGATGAAACTACGATCGATAGGGCCACGCGCGCGCGCGAGCATGCTGTGTGTGCGTCCGTGGTACTGTCAACGAGTCACACACGTCGCTTCGATAACCCAACATCAGACCGAAAGTAGACATTTATTCGAGAAGATATTCGGAATGGCCAAAAGATTTCCATGGTATCCATTTTACGTCAAATATAAATCGTCGACTATGATAGACTTTGTCCGTTATCGAGCGGTTTAATACGACATTTAATTAATTAGTAAATTATGTCGGAAACTGTTTGATGTTTCGAATTGTTCCGTCCGTTTCGTCATGACGCGACGCAACGGGTGTCTGCAAAGAGGAAAATCGAACAAGTATTTAAGTACGCGTGTATGTATCTGGAAACACGGGACGGAGGTTTCCGCAGCAAAAGAGAACATCGACCCTCCCGGTGGAAGTATCTTGTAACTCAGTTCGGTAAACTCTTTAGGAAACAGGAAATTGTTAGTCCGCGGTGGAAGAGTGGGCGGGGGAAATGATCGATAGGTGACGAGGCCGATACTGGAAAACACGGGGCGGACTTGGAACGGCCACGGCAGCCTTTCGGCATGAACGATGGCGGCGACGTGATCTCACTTATCGAAGAAACTGTATCACCGTGCGACCAACGAACGCTCCCCTAACCCAGCCTCCTTCCTTTTTTCATCTCTCCCCGACGAGATGCCCGATCGTTAAGGGCCGCCCGAAGAAATATGATATTGCGATTGTTCCGTCGGTCATTCGTCGATTTCAATTTACGAGCCGCGAACTGGATGAAATTGATAACGACGCCGGCTGATTGAGTTCGCGATGGAAATTCTTTCCAGGCCGATCGCACGGGCAAAGCTTCCTCTATCGGTTTACTATTTAGGGCCAACGATCGGTCGACCGTTGAAGAATTTTAACGAGCATTCGAACTCGACCGACATTGTCCTCGGTTGTCAGTCGTCCACTCGAGCGACAGAGAACGCGGATAAATTACTTAACATATAGGTAATATGACTTGGTGATTATTGTACGGATAGTAGATATCAATTTTATGGAAATTACTTTACTCACCAGTCAGCGTCGTTTGCTCCTCCGCGAGATCTTGACAAGGAATGACACCGGGAGTCGAGTGAAACGACCGGTATTATTGTATTTTCAAACGGGGACCGGGTCATTGTCGAGGAGTTCATTAACGCCTACCGCGCTACTCCGTGCGTCGTGCGGGGTATCGCGGGTGAACGCTAATCATTTCCACCGCTATTGCTCGCATCGTAGAAGACTACTATTTCCGCCAATACCTCTCAGTGGAAACGAGAAAAAAGGTAGGCAGTCTGAACTCGTAAACGTGGAACGATAACCCATCGAAGCGATAGGTACCTACCTAATTTGATCGATAGGACGCGCAATTTGCTTGATTCTATACGGTCATCCTAACGAGGATACCCATGAGTCGGTTACTATGATTACGGTACATTGGGCACAGCCTGACAATATTGAACGTTTCGATCGAATCGGTCGACTTGGGATTGTCAGTCCTTGCTCGCTCGTCGACCTGGCACTCCGTTCGACCTCGTAATTTGTAACGAAAAAGTTAAGAGGGCTTGGTATCGCGGACCTGTCGATACGAACACCTCGAGCGTACGCTGCAGAAAATTGGGTCGTGTCGTTGGAAGCAGTCCGTTGGGACTCGTTCCGAACTTTCTGTGGAAAACAATGAAAGAGTTTAAAGACGGACTCGAAAGAAATTAGCGTTCCCGACGATGACGATACGTCGGGAACGTTGAGCTTGCCCGACGTATGTACAATTTCACAATGAGTCTAGAGGAATCGATAAACTTCGTAACATTCTTTCAGACTGTAAACTTCACCGGAACTCAGTTTCCACGACGTATCACATATGTATGTATATACATACGATGTGTACGGTATGGACGTTAATAACATCGACTCACATTCCACGGAGGTGGAGGGGGCGCAATTATGTTGACAACATTTTCGAAAACTTGGTTAGCCTGAGAAACTCGAACCGTCCAAGTTCTCGAGGACTAGAAGTTTCGGAAAATTGCGACCCGCCTTCAGACAGCAGGTACGTTCCGATACCGTGAACAGATTATCTTTTCCTGCCATTGTTTCCATAATTTAGCCCAAGTACGCGTGAAATCGGTTTGAACTACAGAAAATAAATGGATAGGTTTAACGGACTAGATATCGATTCGAGATTGAAACGAACCGCGTCAGCTGATTGAAATTGTTGGAAAAATTGTATAGACGGACGCGACAACTTCCCGGTACCTTCTAGGTAGCACGAGAAAACTCTGCTTTCTCTAGGGGAAAAAGTGACGAATACGGAAAAGGCCTCCTACCATTTGGTATTCGGAATTATTGAAATTAAGCTTTATACCAAATTATCACTCGATTTAACATTTATTTCAGTGCCTGGAATAAATTTACCAAGTGGTAAGAGACTTTTCTTCAACGCCGCTTTTCCCCTAGTGGAAGCCGAGTTTTCTCGTGGGTGTACATACATGCAACGTGTTCGCCACATTGTCGCGTCGCGCTGCTTCGCCGTGTGATTCGCATCCAAGCGAAATGTTCAAACGTCGGCCGTAAACGCGGCAATAATCGCAGCCGCGCGTGTCGATTGCGTCGTCACGCTGAACGTCACGACGACGCGCAACAGCCCGTCGTCACAGGCAGCTGGAGCGCGACACATGCGTCGCGACGTCGCGACGGCGTCGCATCGCAACCGCTTAACCAGTTCGGGTAAGCTGTATGTTCCGAATGTATGTATATTAACCGCTTATCCACTTCGCCCGTCTCGCAGGGTTGCGACGTTTACGCCTTGGGGGCTTCAAACAGCCGGGTTTCTCCCCGGGGGCCAGGGAACTTTGTCGATGACAAGGCGGGGGATTTATGAGAGCGGAGATAACCCGACCGAGTCGTCCGTCTGCCTCGTCGTCCATCGGTGTTTGGTGTAGGTTATCCCGAGTATCTTCAGAGAGGTGTTTTTAACTGCACGCGTGGAGCTGCAAGGCCCCAGGCTTGTATGCGATTAGAGGAACTGATAGAATTTTCGAAATTGACTGTTATTTGGCATGTCGCGTTTTACCTTCTACTTTACCTTCTTCTCTTTCACTTTTCCAAGAATACACAAGTTTAGGACGTTCTGTTCAGTGTTGGGGAATCGTTGTCGATCGATTCTGCGAAAGTTTGCTAACAAACAGATTTATTGTCAGCTTATAGTGTCCGAGTACAAGTTGAATAACAATAATCTCAAGAAAGAGAAGGGGCAAGAGTAAGCTACTTCGCAGGGTGCATTGGTTTTGTACGCAATATCGTAGGAGTCAATTTCCACCACGTCCTCGACGTTGCTGAAACGTGAAATTAATCGACATTTTTACGTAGACTCGAGATACGATCGATCAGGGGAGAAAATATCGTGACGTTGGATACCTTAGAATCAGTCGAATTGCGTCCTCGATGAACGAAACACCTGGGGGACTCAATAACGTCTTCGCCTCGCAAATTGTTCTGAGCACACACTGTCGTCCTGGCAAATTTTGACTGAAATGAATTTATTTCCACTAGAAGACTATGTATATACCGACGAAACAACAGTCGATACAACGCGATTGAATTGTCGAGAAACTCGCGATTAATGCTTCCTCGCATACCTAGTTAGAGCAGCCTCGAAATTATCGTACAAGTCACGCCGATGTCTTCGTTTAATCATCCACGGCTTCTTGAAGAAATACTTTTTCCTGGAGTTCTCTTGCGTCGGTATCGGCCAGATCGTGTCGAATTCGAAATCGAGGTACCAGTTGCTCGGCAGTGGGAGCTGAATCGATTGCAATGTTGATACCGTCATCTGAATAAAAAAAAAAAATTCCCTACCTTGTCATCGAATCGGAATTCACTGACTTGCCGTTTAATTCTATACGGAACGAAATGGAAACACTCTCATTCTCTCTTGAAGGGAGCACTGTCAAACACCACGACAAAGTCACTGCGACTCGAACCGTGAGCGCGGTTGCAGGCATGGTCTGCGTCAGTCCAGATCGGGATTAAGCACACTTTGGCCGTGTGCACTTACCACGAAAGCGCTGCCCTTTGGAAAAGTCAGTCGCCTACGTCTGGAAAGTATCTCTGGCGACCTGCGACCGGGACCGCTTAACACGACGGTGTCGTTACAGTGACACACGGGGTCCGGGCGTGGGTTCGTGTCCATGTCCCCAAGGATCAGCGCTGGGTCCAGGATCTCGGCGAGAAGCAGGACGAGCCACGGGGCTCTCATTTCTCGGAATTACCGGATGAAATCAGCCGTTTCGCGGAGCGGAAGACCTTAGACCTCTCCTGGGAGAAGCCGGCTTGCGGAAAAGTTTTTCAGGAAAGTCAGGAACATCTTTCGCGGTTACACCGAGCTGTGTCCGCTGACGTTTCGTTCGTGAACTGCCCCATGGCGGGTCGGTGCTGCTGCTGGTGGTCATGTGAACGAACATCATCGGGCCAAGTGTGTTTAACCATCGAGTTATCGAGGTTGGTCAGCTGGCTTCCTATTACGTGGAAACGCAACCCCGGTTGACTTTTCTAATCAGACCCTGACACTTCTGTGGGTTCGGTCAATGATTACGCGACAGGTTCAGAAACTGGACCGGGGTTATTTTAGTTTCTTCTTGGAAGCTAGTTAAGCTTTTTTGGTCCGATTTTTTTTTGATGGCGATCCAGTGAGATAGTCGAAGAGTATTTCAGACAGACGATCGAATTTCATCCGGCTAATCAATCGTTGATACGTGCCATCTTCTCCAGTTCCATTTGCCAATGGGAGAATACCTATGCACAATATAAGCTCGCATTTCTAGCGGTTCGGAAAGATTCATGGGAGGACATTACTCTTCATTCACAAACAATCATACCTTAGACACTCTGACATAGAGTGTAGATCGTGATCGAGCAGGATCAGGGGATCTCTAAATTTCGTAAATCTCTCGAAATATATTTGACGCCGCCGCCGCCAACGAGAATCACGTCGTCTTGGCATTATCCAATCTCCAGGAATCCTGGCCATCTTCGTGGCTTCCATCTGCGGGGTAATTTCACTTTGGTCCTCCCAAGTCGCTCTCCGTTCCCCCCTCTCCTTTCTTCTGCGCCTCTACAACCGAAGACACCCTTGGACAGTCCCACGAGGAGTCGAGAGTGATTTATCAAACGTCCGAGATGAACTGATTTCGCTTGTTCAGACCTGGTCGATGGCCCTTAATTAAACGGGTCGCTGCATTTTAAACGGGGACGAGGAATTGCCGAAATTGCGGCCCGGCCAATACTTTCTCGAATAAATGAATCCTTGATGTTTCGGCTAAGCGGGTCGTTTCGTGAAACGACGATAATCCCGAGCGAAACTTTGACGCGTGGGTTATAGCATCGCGCCACTTTGACGGCGTTGTTTCGCGAAAACGGGAACGGGAGCTTGATTGTTTCGTGACCGTACCTACTTCTACTTACAGCTTACAGCTTCCCACCGTTTCAGTAGTACAATTCAATCGTACGCCCGACAAACTTTTCCTTCTTAATGTAACGCGAGCCTTGGACCCGCATCTCTCTAACTCGGTTCTTAATGGAAAGGTGTTTGTACATTTCTAGGAAATTTACATTGTTTCGAGTGGTTCTTTTTAATGAAACACCGAATGGATAAATTACCGTCATTAATCAGACACGGCTCGGTTTACTCGAATCGCTCTGGAAACGTAACACGACTGGGAACGACTGCTTTTCGGCTGCGTGGCGTGTCCGAGAAATTTTTAATTCGAAATTTGTCGAAATTTACATTCGACTCGAATCGATCGATAGGTGTAACGAAGCACTATCGATTCACGCAACTGTCAACAAACTCAGGCAAGACGGTACTTTGGATCGCGATCTGGGAATCGACGCCGAGCTGCGTTAATGATGTGCGATGGAAATGCAAGCCCCAGCTGACATTCTCAAAGGGAGAATTGCATCACAGCGTGTGTGCACGTGCAAACACGGGGCTCACGGTCGAAGGTGAGATACATGTTCGTGCAACCAAAATACATGCGGCAGCTCCCAATCCCCGGAAGGATACGTTTTCGAGGACACGGTGTCGCGTATTATTCCAACAACTACACGATATTATTGTAAGACTAATTAATTCACTGGTAATATTTATTCAGTAGATTCTACTGGGAAATTCTTAAAGATGTCGAACTTGAAAGAACGACGTGCTTCCATTAAAAAATTCCATCATGTATTGTTTCTTCTCTGTTCATCAACTTTATAAATTTTGCAACATCGTCGTCTTTCACACCACCCAAACACTAAAACCTCGTAATCGTGAAATACAACTCGCAGAGACAGCAAATGTTCATTTTAATTAAACGACAACAAGGTATTGTATTTTACTCCACATGATTAATATAGGTATAGAAATAACAGTCGTTTTAGTTTTCGTGCATGTGAACGCAATTTTAGAAATATTTATATAAATGTGTAGGTATATTATTATATACGAATATGTACATATGTATATACACACAATACATATGTAAGTATATGTATACATGCTCGCAAGTGTAAATGAAACAGCAAGTAGATAGAGTACAGACACTAGTCAGACTGTGACGTTGGTTCCCACAACTAGGTAAATGTAATTCGAGTTACTTTCGAGGGATTTTCTCGCGTGTCTATTAGGTTCCTATAGTTCGGTCTGAAAATCAAGAAGAAGGATTCCGTCGTCGGTTTAGAAGGCGTCCGGACACCTTTCTTCCATTTCCCCGCAATTCTCTCGGCAGTAATATGCTTTCTCGTACTCGGTCACAGTATCCGCGTCGTCCAACTTCCCGGGTAATCTGAAACATAAAAAACCGTCAAGTAATGTGGAAAAGAGACGAAAAATTTTGTTACGCGAAGATTCGTTACAATACGGTTACGAAGGAAAAGCTTCGCGAAACAAGCAAGCTCGAAAGACCAGATTCAATTGGCAAGAGGAATACAAACAAGAATACTGAAACTCGATGGAGATTTTAAGCAATCTGCATTTCCGTAAATTCCCTTCTCCTTGTAAACTTTCTTCCGTACGATGAAGTACCTAAAAATATTCAAAAGGCTGAGATGATCGTGTTGCTCTCATTTCACCAGCGTTATTAATTATCGAAGGGCAACCACGTTCGAACTTTCCCTTTATCGAACAATAGTCCCCCTCATCCTTTACGGTTCGTGATGTTGTTCGCGCGGTACGGTTCTTCGCGTGCACGCGCGCTCAAAACTTTCGGAACGGTTATTAAAACGGAGCGAAAAGTTGTCGAAGGAAATTCCGCGAGCAGTTCGGACTGGTCTGCGAACTTTTCGCGAACGTGCTAGACCGAGAGGAGTACGTTAAGCGTCACGCCGGATAACATGAATAAATTCAACGCGTTATCGAGAAACTGTGTAACGCGATCGCCTCGCTGTCAGCCTCGTGTCTTCGAAATGACTTGGAGTTGCGCGGACGCGACGACGACACTTTGATGGCAGCTGTATCCGTCGACGATATTTTCTTTTCCTATTTTTCCCTTAACCTCTACCCTCTTGTAGCAGGAAAAATCCGACTTCTTTCATTATGCTTCGTACTTGCTGGATACGAGCAAGGATTTCGTTCACGGCGATAGCCTTTCCACTACGATCACCGGGTCTCGTCGACAAATCACTTTTCCCTTTGTTAATCGACGTTCGATTAATCACCGTTTCCCCATTTCAATCTTCGATCTCTCCGATATTTCACTTTCCTCGATCAATCTCTTCGCTGATAATCGTTTAGGCATTCAATGTCTTTCCCACTTCGATTGCTTTTCCTCGCTTTCGACGAACGTTTGATTAATCAGCAGCATCTTCCGTTCGCAGCATCGTTTTCTCTTTAATTTTCATCGAACAGAATCGAATCACGAAATTCTTCGCGCCAGTCATCGTTCGTTTAATCAAGGTCTGAGAAACGTACTTTCAACTACAATACTGCTAGATCTTCACGCGATCCTTTTCGCGACCAACTCGTGGTATCTTTGTACGCAGTTCGACGCGGACTTTCTAACTCTAAGGATAGATTACTTCTAAATTAGAAAGATCAGTTTGAAGAAGCGATTACCGCTGAGATACTTACGAGAAAACGACATTCATGATCTCCTCGAGGAAGGCTCCTTTCCTTGTCTCCGTTCGATTTCTCCTGGCAGCCCTGCAGATTGCCTTGAGGATGCAGGCCCTTCCGTCCTTGCCCTGACTTGTCAAGAGAACACGTCGTCGGTTAGAGGGGCGCAACGCTGAGACCGACTGCGATCGTTTATCACTATCATGCTCGTTATCGTCGTCAGGCTGTCCGTGAGTCGGGGGTCTATTCATTAAGTTCGCGATAATACCGCCGAGCGTTGATACCGTGGAGCACGAAGCGGTTCGGTGTAAACCGGCGAAGGTTTACAAGGACCCTATCCGCCCTTTCCAGCTCACCCCGTCCAATCCCCGCCGCCCTGCCCAGTTACTCTCGAAGCAAACACTGGCAATTATAGAGTATACGTAGGTGCTTTGCTATTAGGATCGGAGTAATGCAATTGCTGTGTTTCACCGCGACCCTGGAAATCCGCGACGAAATCTTGCGATCGTGTTAAGAGCGGATTAGGGAGAAGACACGTTTCAAGACCAGACGCGAAGACTAGACTGCGTTACTTATATCATATTATCAAAGTAGAAATAGAATAGACAAACAAAAAAACTGTAGACGGATCAATGAAACAATGGGGACTATAATATTAAACAATATAATATCGCATAACGAGCTTATCGCGAGAACGGTACGAAGAGATTGCAACGTGTACGATTTCAACGACAGCCCGTTCCGAAAGTGCATAAAAATTTGTATTTTTCATTTTGAACGTCATCGAGACTAAATACGAGATCGCGCACACACGTATAAAAATGAATCTTGATTGCCATTTATCGACGTCGCCCGTATTCCGATAGAACAATTTGACAAATGGTTACCAATATCGGGTAATCGACGATATTTATGCAAGCAGTATGCGATGCTTGGTTGCACACGAGCAAGAGCTGTGCCACGAGCGGGCAGAATGGGCGTTTTAATCGATCGATAATGCTTCCTTTCGAGTAACGTATTCGAGTAATGCGCCCTTTCGAGCATCGAGAGAAATCTCCCTCATTTGTCAATACTCGAATATTTTGGGGAAATCGATCGTGGGCGAACCGACACTTGCCGCGACGTCAGCGAACGTCCATCGAGTCTCACTGTTCCTGCGGAGTCTCGAAGGCAATACTAATACTCGAGGCAAGCAAAAGGGGTTGCTTTATTGCTAACTCGATTCGAGGCGCCTAATCGCGTTGAATCGCGCTTAATCCGTGAAAATCTGTGACCCTGTTGCCGCGTTTGAGCAACGGGTTAGGTCGGATGGAGACAGATGGAGTCAGATGGAGTCAGATGCAGTCAAATGGAGTCAAATGGAGTCAAATGGAGTCAAATGGAGTCAAATGGAGTCAAATGGAGTCAAATGGAGTCAAATGGAGTCAAATGGAGTCAAATGGAGTCAGATGGAGTCAGATGGAGTCAGATGGAGTCAGATGGAGTCAGATGGAGTCCAATGGAGTCCAATGGAGTCCAATGGAGTCAAATGGAGTCAAATGGAGTCAAATGGAGTGAGATGGAGTCAGATGGAGTCAGATGGAGTCAGATAGAGTCAGATGGAGTCAGATAGAGTCAGATAGAGTCAGATAGAGTCAGATAGAGTCAGATAGAGTCAGATAGAGTCAGATAGAGTCAGATAGAGTCAGATAGAGTCAGATAGAGTCAGATAGAGTCAGATAGAGTCAGATAGAGTCAGATAGAGTCAGATAGAGTCAGATAGAGTCAGATAGAGTCAGATGGAGTCAAATGGAGTCAGATAGAGTCAGATAGAGTCAGATAGAGTCAGATAGAGTCAGATGGAGTCAAATGGAGTCAGATAGAGTCAGATGGAGTCAGATGGAGTCAGAAGGAGCGCCCTAAGAAACGTTCGTAAAATCTCAGTTCGGCTAGCAGTGTGCTTTGTTTCGTTTGGTCAGCCTCCCCCGAAGAGGAGCCGGGGAAAACGGCACGGCGCGGGCTGAAAGGCGGGAAACGTTCTATCGGCGCCGTTTCGCGATCACCTTTCGTCATTTCGGCGAGGTCAACGTTTGTGTACCCTCGAGAGAGGCCAAGCGGCTTCGAGAGTCGGCCACTTAACCCCGCCAAGGCAGAGTTCTCATTGTCGTTTCCGGCGATTACTCGGCGTGAATCGGACAAGTGGCCGTGGAGAGAAGGCCGTTTTATCGACAGTAAAAATTCAAGACCGCTCGGTTGTTTTGCATCTGGGGAAAGCCCCCTTCATCGGCCCCCGAAAATCAAGAGCTCCTTCGGGACGGAACAATGCCGCGAGCCCTTTTCGGAGTGTGCTCGAGAACGACTCTCTTTTCCAGCGAGACAATACTTCGAGGTCGGCTAAACTGCTAAAACGTTTGCTTTCAAATTGGTGGTCGTATGGTTTTCTGGGAGGAAAGGAGGAGGAACGGAGAAGAGTCTGGAGAAATGTTTGAACCCGATTCGCGACGATTTCTGTGTAATACAGCGACCACTTCAATCCTGATTTCATTCTATTTCCACTGGAATCATCGGTGTACTCACGTTCCCAATAGCGACTCCATTTTGCGATAGAGTTCCCTTCTGCTTCGGCGATGATATACATCCAGACGATCGGCCGATATCGTGCTCTCGCTGGGCAATTCCCATGCTTGACCGGCGGTGATCCCGAGGGTAAAGAGTCCAGAGGGTTTCGTATAAGTGCTCATAGTCAGACAGTACACCAGCTGAACCATTCGTATCGTATCGAATCGAATCGAATCGAAGACAGAACGAGAGAGAAAAAGAAATTATTATAGTCCAAGTGTTTAGCGTAACGTATTAATTCTACAAGAAATTACTCGACAAGGTCGTGGACTTTTCTAGCACGTCGCGACAACCAACGATCATTAACAGCTATTAACGAATTTACTTTGGACGGCTACTGTGTTGGTACTGGTAATCTCGCAATTTTCCAAAGCATTAATAATTAGCTCCACCCGATTATCGAGGTTTATCGCAGCACCGCGAGCTCCTTTTAACGTTTAAATTTTACATGCGAACGTGTTCGATGACGAACAGGTCTCCGGTGTGGAACGACGTGGCAGCTTTAGGCCGAGCTATTAGAAATTGTTAAGCCATCGTTTACAGCGCAAGTTTCGCGAACTTGACGCCGTGAAACTCTCTGTCTCGCTACCGGGACCGGGACGCGTGCATACTTCTCGCGATGTAACATTATGAACAAGTTTTTTACGATGTAATTACAGCACGGAGGCAGCGTGCTTCTCAGGAAGTTCAGACACGACTTTCATTTGGAAATTTCACTCACTTGAATGTTGCTTCCCTGAGGGAAGACGAGGTATTTGGCTTCAAATTCCCTTTTGAATCGACGACCAATCGTGTCGTTCGTCGATTCCGTCGATGTCGCGACGTAAAGTAAACAGAAGAATTTGATCGCAGAAACGAGGAACAAAGGAGACGCAGTTGACATCCCGTTAAACGTTCACTGAATCGCGTTGGTCAACCGGAGATGATTCGTCGAAGCGGTTTCCTCGGGTCGAGACGCTAAGTGACACGAACCGGTGGATGATATAATGACAGGTAACGGTGGTTAGAGAGTTTAGCGATGAGTTTACGGCCGGATCGTTAAACTGCCTTAAATTGCTCGTTAAACCGCGGGCAAGTGCGAATTGCACGCAGTTTCGTTCACGGTTCATACGAGACAATCTTTGGTGAGTCGTGTATGTTTTTTTTTGTGACGCTGAAATAATGCTTCTAATTTTCGGGCAATTGTTACATTTATCACATTTATCAGATTTATCACACCGTACCGGCACCAGAGAGGATCCACTTAACGAAAGATTAATCTTTATCAGACGCATCGTTCGTAGATCTAATTAGTAAAAAAAAAAAAAAAAAAAACGGCGGCTCGTTGAAACTTTCAGACAATGGAGGAACCCGGAACTCCACTTAAAAGCGTGCTCGAAGGCTTTAATAAAACAACAAGGTTCGAGAGGCCATTAATTTCACCGTACTCGGGGATCACAGTTTTCGTCGTTCGATCTCTGCTCCGTCGAACAAAATCAAATTCACGATGTGCACGCACTTTAGTGTAATCGTGGATCATCGTGCTCCGCGGGGTGAGTAATTAGAACGATGGGATCATCGGTTCCATTCTCGGGGGGTCGTGAAATTTTACCGAGGATCGTTGAACCTCGTGGTCCGACGGTCGAAAATATAATTGGATCGTCCGCCGTTGTAAAAACGGAATGGCGAACTTTTTAGCAGCTGCGATAAATTTCAGTTTTCTTGTCGTACTATTTTATTAATAGAATCAACTTATTACCTTTAAAATTGAACTGACCTAGAAAGTGGTGAGGTTTAACAGTTAATTACAACAACAACACCGATTGTTTGACGTATCGTCGAGTACCTACCTACAGACAGAATAAAATTTTGTTATTTAAGGCTTACGTTTCGAGAAAATCGACTTCGAAAAGTAATCTGAAACACATTATGTAATATGTACATATGTATATATATGTATGTATGTATGTATGTATGTATGTATGTATGTATGTATGTACATACATATGTATACGTATTTATTACGTAGAGTAGATCGTGGGTCGTGTTTAAATTTGAAAGAAAAAAGACCACGTTTCGGTACTGTTGATTTATTTTATTACATCTACTATCATTTTTTAAGCACACTGTTCTCCAGACGTACGTATTTATTAGACAATTAATACATATACAACTTGTCGGTGTTTTCTAATGTACTTCATAGTTAAATTAAATACATATTAAGATTGTTTCTGCTGCAGCTATGTTAACGTTTATGCTGTCTTTGTACTGTATATTTTCACATCTGGTCTCGACTATAGCATTCGTGTTTTTATATTAAGCGACGGATGGATTTTTAACGGTACGCTTAAACTTCCTTCGAAATGGAGTTCATCGGGCCATACGTTAATGAATTAATGAAACGTTGTTTGTGTGTTTAGCGCGATACTCGTCCCGGTTAAATATTGGACATTCAAATAACGACGCAGACATTTTTTTCCTCCGTTCCCGTTTACAAAAGGGCTCGGAGCACCGCACTCGACCGTGGCCTGGACCGCGGCCTCGGCCACTGCACTCTACCAAAATGAACTATAAATTCCCGGCACTCGGTTCACCATTTTGTTAACGCAAAATGAATTACATGCCGCCAGCGTTACTGCCGCTGTCACCATCGCGATACAGGAACATCCGGTGAAATATGTTCGCTGAAAGGTCGGCCGCGAAATCTTTGGAAACCACCGAGTGAAACGTAAATTGAAATTGAAAGAACGAAAGAGTCGCACTCCGTGCGCTGTACAGGGTATATAGGTATTTACGTATTTATCTAAATATAGTATGATATTTCGTTGGTTTCGATTAAAAAAGCTAAAGGGATAAAAGAAGTTTGCTCGGATACAATGCAGAACAATTTCCCGTGCTGTTTACGACGATTAACGGGAACGTTGCATTTTTCATTCGTGAAAGTTGTCGGAAATATAGTTTTTGTATAGCCTACGTTTGCGTATTCGGCGCATAAATGTATCCGCACGGTGATCCACGCAGTTTGGCAACGATCGGGCGTTCCGCCGGACCAGAAGATTATGCGGGGACGCAGCGGGGTTCAGGTTGAAAAATTACCAAAGTTCGGGCGAGTGGCCAGGAAAACTTGAGCGGTGTTTCCCCGGGCAGGCGACGCATCCCGGACGAAACCCGGTCGACGTTGCATACGCATACGTATGTGAATGCGTCGAGTACCAGGAAGCAACGGGGTTCTGTTGGCCGGTCTTAGAACTCTACCTCGTAAATGGAGTGCTGGCAGCTCGGATAAAGCTGCTCGCAATTTACGGTGGTCCGGTACGCGTCCTCGTATGCTCGATCCCTCGTTTTCTCGAACTTTTCGCCGTCATTGGGCAGCCTGCGACAGGAGAATAGAATTTAGGAATCGTCACATCGATTCGACACATTGACTCGACTCGTCTCGAGAAAATTTCTTCTTCCTCGGAGCAAAAGTCAACTTATTACTTTGAAATTAAACTGACCGAGAAAGTGTTGAGGTTTAACAGTTAATTACAACAACAACAACACCGATTGTTTGACGTGTCGTCGAGTACCTACCTACAGACAGAATAAAATTTTGTCATCTAAGGCTTACATTTCGAGAAAATCGACTTCGGAAAGTACTCTGAAACGCGTGCATTCACCATAGTAGTAAGTAGAAACGGAATGCAATGAACAGACGCGATAGTCCAGTCCTATTCAATTGCCCCCGTATTTACGAGATCTTCAACGTCAATTTTCTCGAAAACTAAGCATTAAATGAAAACATTTTATTCCATATTTTGTTCTTATTCTTTTATAAACATTCACCTCGTATCCGCTTGTACATGTTATTCGGCTGCAACCTGTATATGTATGTATAATCTTACGCGTCGTTCCTCGTCTATGAACTATTAGCACCATAGCTAAAGTTTTTGTGTTGTGATTCTCGCGCGGTAAGATTCGAGGTCCGAGCTAGAGCATTGTTAAACGGTGGACCATACTCACGTGAAAATCGCGTGCAGTAGCTCGTTCACGAAGGCCCCCTTGCCAAGGTTCGAAGGGTCCCTCTGGCCCGCCTCGCAGAGCGCCCTCATCACGCAGGCTCTGCCATCGAGGCCGGTGCTGTCGATAAAGTTTAATTTAAAATAGTTCCCCGGCCCGTAAACTTTGATGACGGGGCTGCGGCTTAAGCGAGGTTCCTGCGGCCGAAACAATTACCGGCGACTCGAGGAGCATTCTCGGGCGCAATCGCGTTTAACTTTAACTACGCTGTCGGATGATGCGTATAACACGTTGTTCGTCGGCTGCTTCCGTTCCGGAAACTTTCAGAAAGGAGCAACGAGAGACTAGAAGATACCCGTCGCAAACCACGTGTCGTAGGAGATTTCCTATTCCGATGTCGGACGTGTCCTTCGTGAAAATGAACGGGAATAAGTGTATGTCGGTATTCTCGAAGAGCAGCAGCGCGTCGAAGAATGTCGATCGAGGGAATTCGCCGCGTCAGGTATTGTTAATTAAATTCCTTCGCGAACGATTATGTCCGGCAAAATCCGTATCTGTCCGAGTTGTCGTTAACCAGTGACATCTTGTCGAATCGAATGCACCTTCGTCAAGAGGAACTTTTTTCTTCTTCTTCTTCTTCTTCGTCGTCGTCTTTTACTAGAAACGACGTCGACGATGACGACGACACGATGTTCCAGTATCCTTTTGAATAACTCAGCGTACGTAATTCATTTAATTCCGTGTGCTTTTCAGAGGTCTGACACGTGGTTTGGTACGTGGTGAAAGTATAAATTACGGGGACGAAACGTCGAAAGGAATGGAATACTTTATACAAGGTGATTCGAGATGAGATGGTTTTCGATTGACTTCGGAACGAATTTTTAGTGAAAAGTGTTAACGAGACTTGTTGAGTTTCCACTACGGTACTCGACTCGTGTATATGCACAGGTACATACATGTTACGCCAACGGACTTTGTTTGCGGTTGAGTGGTGGTAGTTAACTTAGAGTCCCATCGTTAATGTGCATGCGTTCGTTGTCGTAGCACCCAGTATAATGCAACGGAATCGAATCCGACGCGACGTCTTCCTGTTCCGTTTCTCTCACACGTTCCGCATGAAAATTTCTGTGCCTGCCGCGCATTTGCATGTGCCAGCGAGGAAAAAAGAGCTCCATTTGCATGTTACACCACGCTTCAGAACCGAATGAAAGCAAGCTTTCGCGAGGGGTGAAAACAAAAAGTCGTGTGAACAGAAGGATAGAAGTAAAGAAATTGAAATTCTTGCGTCTTCTTTGTGGTTTGACACTCTATTTCCTATGTAATTTGCGTCCGTGGGTAACGAAAAGATATCGGGAAAAATTCGCCGGTATTGCATGCGCAGGTTTCGTTTCAAGATCAGTCGCGTCATTTTAAACGATAGAACGAATGAGACTGGATTAATTGAAACTCGTGAATTATTTTTACGTCGCATAGTTTCCCGTAGAATTTATCCGGTCAGAGAATAAATTAACCGTCACTGGATAGAAGTCTGAATTTACTGCGGCTGAAAATCGGAAATTGCGTAATTTCAGTGGTGCAAGTCAATAATAGTTGAATCTTGTTCGAGCAAATGCACGCGGTGCGTATTAATTAAAAGTATATGTTTCGAGAACACAACGGAAAACGAAGCAATTAAGTTTTTAATTGAATCGAACGAAGCCGAACGAACACTCGTGACGAAGAAAGCAACGAAATTGGTTTTCGCGTCGAAGACAGGATAAGATTTCAAGAGAATTTGCGGGAAACTGATTCACTTACGACTGCAGTAGAGCTTCTATTTTCGGGAATACGACGCTTCTGCTTCTGCGATGAAGCAATTCCGATATTTTGTTGTCGACTTTGCTCGGCAGCTCCCAGGCCAAAGCGGCCGTCATGCCCATCACCACGTCATTCTCTCTGGCGTACGTTCCGACTGTCAGGCAAAACACCAGCTGGTGTAGACAGAAAATGTTCGATACATTCTTCCTCGATCAATCGTCTCGAATAATGTCTAAATTTCAATCGATTCGAGGCTATCGCGTACGAACAAACGAACGAACGATAGAACGAACGAAACGACGTTGGATCGTCGAGTTAATCGCAAGAGGATGGAAATGCTTGAATTGGAAGCAGGATGGTATAGATTTACCTGCAGGTTGCTGCCTTCCGGGAAAATCAAGTATCTCTTGGGCCTGGAGAGCGTCCTCGATGCGCCGATCGGTCTTTCGTTCGCGCATATCATCAGGAAATCAAAACACGCGACAACCAAGGACAGTCGTCGGACGTTTGGCATCCCTTCGACGCGGTTACGAGAGTTTTCCGCTCTCATACGTTCCCGCGCGTGTCTCTGGAACGATCGCGAACCCCTCGAGAGTGAAAGTGATCGAGCCAGAGCTCGTGATACGTACGATTTCGCCGACGCGAAGCGACGCGAAGTGAAGCGAAACAGCACCTGTACTTCGGACCAGCAGAAGATCGTGAAAGAAGTGTGATTTGAACGCCGCTGGAATGCTTTCCGCACTAAAAGACCGGTTCCCCGTACGACGAACGTGGAATAGTTTCGGTGGATGAGCTAACGGGAACGAACTGGTCGTGTTTTTTTCCGCGGGTGTCTAATCGGCAGCCAGACGATGCCCTCGAGAATCTCTAAGGTAAACAAAACAGTCGTCGATCCCGCTCGAGTCTCGGAGTTGCGTCATTCGAATGGTGAATGTTGCTTCATCGGTTGATCCGAGAAACTTGTTCCAGTTCAGCGTACGCGCAACACGTTCCGGTTTGCGCGGAGTTGTTTTTTTAGGGACAAAGTGTGAGCTAGGTCTTTCATCGACCGACAAATTCACAGGATCGTTGAAAGTTTTGAGGTTGTTGGCGAGCGACACGAGGTCTGCAAAGTCAAGCGATTGCACGGTGTTTCGCAGAGAAGTAACCTGCTTCTTGGAAACGAGCCCTAATGTTAAAGAACCGGTCAACTTTTCCGTAGGAATGATTCTGAATGGCGTACAATTGTCCGTGGTCCTAGATTGTCTTCCGATTCGGACGCCCACTTTGGTGATTAGCCAAAATCCACCGAGGAATTGCAATCTACAGTACACCGAGGAGCAAACTCGGCTTTCTCTAGAATTCTCTAGCTTTTTCTAGGTAGGAGGTCTTTTCCTTACATCACTTTTTTCCCTTGTGGAAGCCGAGTTTGCTCGCGAGGGTACATATGTATTTTACGATTTAGCAGACAAACAAATCGAGGAAATCGTTAACTTTTTAATCTTAACCCCACAGAACTGTCTGTCAGTTGGACATATCCGGTTGACCTCGTTTCCGTCGATAATCGTGAAACGATAATCCTCTATCCACTGATGTCGAAACTCTAAATAACTCGATCGTCAATTAGTTACGAACTTTGCGTCATCGTCTGGACTCGGCAGAGAGGAAACGGATGTTAAATGAGAACAACACTCTTCGGTAAGCACCGTTTATTGAATAAATTCCAGCCAATCGAATTTTAGATTTCCCTCGATATTTATCGTCGTCGAGACGCTGAACGCGACAATTTGATCGCGAATAATTATGTACATACCTCTACTCGGGTGTCTCGTTTTTTTCGTGGGTGATGCGCGATAAAATACGGGTCAGGAACGACACTAAAACATAAATGAACGTCCGCGGGATGAACGCGCGATAGCAGAACCGTTGTGGACAGACGAAACAGGGTGGTAGCAGCTCCGCTCATTGTACTTTTAAATGCACGCTTATATTAATTCATACCGTCTTCGCTGCTAGAATGTTACACCTTTCTGGAATACTCCGATTGGGATAGAGAGAGAGAGAGAGAGAGAGAGAGAGAGAGAGAGAGAGGGAGAGAGAGAGGGAGATATAGAGAGATGGAAAGATAACGGGAGATAGTGGGAGATAGTGGGAGAAAAAGGGAGAGAGAAAGAGGACCAGCAAAGTCCTCTTTTTCACCGGGCGACACTTATTTCCTCATTTTGCAGCCCATAGCGGTGGAACGAGCGTCTGTTAATTGCATATGGGAGTTGCGCGCGAGCGCTCGACGACCCCCTCCTGCACATTGTCTGGCAAGAAAACCGCAGAACATTCTAAATTAATGCTTTTCGTTAACACGTGGCCACCGTGGATGCAATTGTAACCGTTCTGTCGTGGAATGTGACTGGGGTGTTGTCATCGTCGTCGCCATCGTCGTCGGCGTCGTTCCTGGAAAATCCAGGATAATGCGTGCCATTGAGAAGAACGCTTAAACCTTGCTACGTCCACCAACGAAATGATCTGATATCGAAACACTTCTACGTGGAAAAGTAGAACGGCAGACGGTTCACGACGTTTTCTAGAGTCGAGGATTCAATTAGGGTCACGTTATTTTGATTTCTTTATATAATTTCGACGACGATGTTCAGTCTTTATTCCGAGTCGTTGAGCTTCCAGGGTTCACGGTTCATTGATCGACGAAGCTATCAATTCCAATTAACTGGAGGGGACAATTCCTGTCGTGCACGTCGCAGTAAACCGACTCCTCCGAAGAACTGCTGTTATTTCCGTACGATCTGAAATCAAATACCATCCGTGCGATACACGTGCGATTGATATTAACGTCCAAGGTCCGGGATGCTCACCCGATAAGTAACTTTAATATCTTCGCCACGACTCCGTCTTTTCGACTCACGTATTCCATGGCCTGGCAGACGTTTTTGAGTAGGCAGGACTTCCCGTCGAATCCGTGGCTGGAATATGAAACGGTTCGAATATGAATAGACCATCCGAGCCGGGTAACGCGAATTTTATTTAAGATAAAGTCGTACGGACAAACGACACGAAGGCTCTCCTCGATCTTGCCGTGAGAGAGCAAGGAGAAACCCATCGGATGCGCATCTGGCGGTGTGAAGCGGAGTGGAGCGAGACAAAACGAAATGAAACGAAACGTAGAGCAGTGCACGCAAGGAAATGAGAGGAAGTAAGCGGAATCGAGGGACAGAGAAAGAGAAACCGACTGCGCGTAAAAGGACGGCACTGCGCCATTGGCCGATCCGTAGTCGAGACCGGAAATGGTTCTATGGCCGCGGCCAGAAATCCAGATCTTTTTGGCGAACATTTCCCTGTCTCGGCTAAAATGGCCACGGCAATTTCTAGTCTCCGCAACTTTCATGCCGGTGCCCACGGATCGTTGCCCATCCCTTGCATTATTCTTCGACTATTAAACTATTTATTACCTTTCGTAGACGAGCTCTGCCGCCTCGTGAACGTCGGAGATGGACCTACCTGTCCGACCCGTGCCGGCAGGAAGCTCCCACACCATCTTGAAACCGGCCGCTTGAGCGAAGATTGTCGTCTGCGGGAACAAAGTGACCTTGTAATTCACCCTGTACTGAAAGGGAGAACTTCAAGTTAATAGTTGCCGACTGTTCCGTTCGAGGTGAATAGGTGGATGGGGAACGATGGACCGGGACTTGGCGGCCGATGATACGAGGCTTCTTCGAAGTCTCGGAACTCGAGACTTACACGGGAATTTTAGAGGATCATTCGAGAAGGATACGACAAACTTCTGGCGTGGGTCAGTCGCATGCAGATTAACGTGGAAAAAGCTGCGTTGTCCCTCGAGCAAACTTTACACGTCGATCGTTATGGTTACGGTCGGTATCGGAAAATACTTCTGATCGAGAATTTTAATTACTTTTTCTGAAATCGTAGTCTATGAAGAGCATGCTCTGCGTGTTTCATCGTTTGTATTTTGAACAAACGCCTTTCTTCATTTTGAAGCACAGAACAGCGAAGAATAAGGTGGCAGAACAGGTTTACGACCCTGTAGAATTGTCTGTTAAATTACATATTCTACATATAGGTACAATACAATATACATATATAAGTTCTGCTGGATAACGCTAAGCGAGCTGTGGGAGGGTATCACCTGGAACTGGCAAGTCGTTTATCAGACGAGCATCCTTCTCCGACTTACTCTTGTAGGTCGAAATAGAAATGAAAGTAAGGGGCTGCCCTTTGAGCTCTTTTCGTCCGTGTTTGTACGCGAGTCGAGATCGCACGATTCTTCGAGCGATGGCCACAATGCGTTTCTCTGGTGCTGATAACCGAGTAGCTAAACTAGTAAATCTGTGTGGGTCTTTAGATCTATCTTCCCTTTGGCTTTAAAACGCTCGATTCATCCTCTAGTGACAATCTCAACTGGATGTGTAAACCTTGCGACGAATTTCCAATAACAAGTATGAGAATAATAAATACGGTTGTATACACTTTTTTCAGTTTATGGGCCGATAATTAAAACCGTTAGACAATGCCTCGGCCATTTCGTGTAAGTATCCTCCGAGCCATTGAAACCGTTGTTTTTCGATCACAAACACTGTTTCCCTCTTTCTGAAATCGTCTGTCGCGTCGGTGGAAGTTGCTTCGGGATGGCCGAAAAGGGACGACACAAAACCTGTTTCCTAGTGATGCGCGGGTAAACCGAATAATCCTCCACGGTCGTGTGCAGAATAATGAAGAGGGTGATTAGAGGATTTCAGGTCCAAGAGGATGGAACGGTCTTCTTTTCCACGGCGAGTCGGATTCAAGGTAAAATTCAGTGGTCACTATCGGAACGTCACGTCGCTCTAGTTAGTTACATACATACTTGATCTATGCTTTCGCGGCAGGATCGTACTTACGATACTATATAAAATGTAAATAGCTGTACGAGATATTTTTATACGTCGCAGAACTCGACCATTCGTCGGATACAATAAACTTTCACGGTAACATAGTTCCGGGTTGTATCGATTCCACTGGTGATCTGAAATTCAACCGCAGTCTCGTGCATTAGGACGATGGTGGGCGCATGGTGCAGATGCAGACGGTCGTATCGTCGGTACTCGGTCACGTGCCACATGCTTGCCGGTAAGTGCAGTGGATAGTCGCGAGTTGTGCGCCTAATTCTTCAGGTTTCCGCGTAGAAATGAACGGAAATGCCTACCACCGTGTCATCTAGTTACGCCGCGGTGGTCCCATCTGGCGCATCCCGTCGCGTCGACCGAAAATCGTAAACAATTACGAACGTCAAACTCCGTGCCACTGTTCGCACGGAAATTTTCGACCAAAACTTTATGTGTCGTTCGTTAAATCTTTCAGCGTGGAATTCGTTCCTCCACCGCCTCGAAACCACGCAATTTGTTCGATCGGTAGACTCTAATGGAAGCTGGAGGGAACGACAGTGACACGGCGGTCATGAAAGTGAAGGTGGGGGGTGTCGATGATCGACTGTTCTCTTAAACGAGTAAGCTGTTTTCGACAGTCTGACACGTTTTGCGAACATGGAACTGTCGAAGAGGAAATGCTGCTGAAGACAACCCGAATATACTTAATTTACACGGAATTGTTAAACATATAATATTTACGAGGCCCTCGAGTAACATAAGCTACATCGTCGAGCGTAATATTCAGAACTACGATCAGGATAACGTATTCGAGTCGAAGCCGCGAGATATGTCTCGGGTCGATCGACGAGTTACGGTGGGTAAGTTGCATTACGGAGTGCCGTGAAGCGTGTTCGCCGGGGAAGATCGCCTTTTAAAGCGAAAATACGAGGCCAACGATCGGTTTGCATTAGTCGTAGTCCCTCCCCCCCTGTGTGTATGGTGCATAAATTTCCGGTATGCACGCTGCGCCCAGTTGCTCGTCCTCCCCCTATAAACACAACCGATAGCATAAAGGATGCCTCTCGACAACGAACGGCAGGCTAATTTCGACGCGAGTCGAGCGGAAATTTCTTTCGTTGTTTCATCACGAATCCATGAACCGTACGGGACAAGGTTTACAACGTGGAACATACCAAATGTAGAAAACGGCCAATGCGGGAATCGAGGAAGTACGATGCAACGCGTAGTCACGCTCGTCGAAATATTAATTCGAGAATATAAAAGGGATTTAGGAAATGATTCGAAGACGAGAGCAACGATAAAAATATCTGAGACGCGGACCAGGCAACGAATAGCGATCAATTTAGAAAATTTCGCGAACTAACTGCCTACCTAAGTGTATATAAGTCGACTACGGGCTGGGGTAAAAACGCTTGTCAGAGTAGAATACTCACGAAAAAGGAGCTGCCCTTCCGGAATGCCAGAGATCTGGTGGCTCTGCCCGCGGCCACGAATTCGGCTGCGGTAACGAGGCCGAGACAGAGGATGCTCCAGAACAACGGACGCATAATCAGTGAATGCCGGGCTTTGGGCCAAGATATCCTCGCGATGTTACCCACGCGGCCTATAGATCGCGCAAACTGTTTTCGCCAGCCTCGAAATCTCCTCCTCCGATGAGATTGAATCGGTTCGAACGACGTCGCCCTGGGACATTGATCAACGGTGTTCTCTCAGCCCCACTATCGTCACTTTTTCACTCCGTTTCGAGCCTTCCCCCTCCTCTCCCCCTTTTGCTGCTGGCTCGTTCTTATCAATTAGCATCGGCGTCAACGTTAGCACTCGTTTCCAAAGGAATCTTTTAGATTGTGTTCATCGCGCGGGACTAAATCGAGCCAAGTAAATACAATTTGTCTACGACGTACCGTTACTCTTTGTCGTTAAATGTGAGACACACTGAATTTCCTCCTTCCAAAGCATTCGACTTGCCACCAGTCCTTTGTCTGAAATATGGAACGCGCCAGTACTTCCCGCCCGAAGACCGAGGCTCTCTCTCCCTCTCTCGGTAAACTACTAAACTGCCTGGAACACGAAACGATCCTGTGTTCCCTCTCTCTCACTTTCTGCTTTCGTGCCGTTTTACGACCAAGAATCCTCCGTCCAAGGTGGATCGGATGAGTCGGTACAGTATTCTACGAGTGATTTATCTATTGATCCAAGGAACGCGATACAACCGGACCATTGCTTTATACTCAAACACGAGGGAATTCATAGAAAAGAAGCGAATGTTCGGACTTTGGAAAGTTGATCGTAGCCGAACGTCCTTGAAGATACGGCGAGCATCGATCTGGAAAGGGCCATGTTACGTCCAAGTGCGAGCGTACTTTTCCAACAAGGTAGTTGATTAAACTTGGGAAATACATTTAGCTCCACTTCACGCGCAACAGGACCGTACCGCGGAATCGGCGGCAGAAAATCGACGAAATAATTCCCAAGAGTCGGACCGGAGTCTGTCACTCGGCAATTGGAACCTTTTGCAGTTAGTTACCTTCGATTAAAGCGACTTCGTCGAGTTATTAAGCCGGCTCGGTCTACGTGGAACGTCGCGTCTCACTTTAAACGGCCCCGCGCAGCCTGAAGAACCGTAAAACTGGCGTTTAATAATAAATTATTTACCGCCCATCCGCCGTCTACTGGCTCGTTTTAGGAACGTATTTATGAACTTAATCTCGGAGCTGCATAAAATACTGGCAACGCTTGTATATCCTTCAACCATGTACTTCTTCTTCTTCACTTTCTTTTTCCCCTGGTTGCGGAGTCTCTTCTGCCCCGAGGGGAAACGAAAGGCTTGGAATTGGTAAATTGCGAGCATCGGAGGCTGCTTTTATTTTTCTAGGATCCCTGTTGCCTGATCGTTTAAGTTTTGCGAGCTCGACGTGTAAGTACTTTGTTTTCGAAGAAATTCTTAATGGAAATTAAACAAGTGTCGATAAATCCCGATCAAAGTTCGGATAAAAGGAGATGGATCGGGGAGCTTACTATATGTATGAAGCTTACTGTATGCGTCGTCAACGGAGACGGGATTTGATGCGGGTATAACAGCGCAAAGCGTAAGATGGAAAAAGATTTATTCCGGTGCAAAGGAAGACTGACAGGGGATGCAGATTGAAAGGTGAAACTAGGTCGAGAAGAAAATGAAGGGAAAATGCAATAACGTGTACAACGATGCGAAAAGATCGGAAATAAAGAACATGCTGCGTAGTCATAATTAATGAATTGTGGAAATTCGATCTAAAATTCCTAGGCCGGCAGGACATGCGGAATAAATCATCGAGCAATTCTCGTGTCTCCTTCCAGCTGCTGCTGCCTCTAAGTACTCTTGGTCCATTCTCGGAGCACCTCCGTGATCCGGGCTACGGTGGAAAGACGGAGTTTAGAAAAGACGATCAAAGTATCGCTATATCGGCGAAGATAAATTAATGATCTTACGTGAGCAGCAAATGCAATAGTTCTCCTAGCAATCCCTCGTCTTTCAATGGCGTCGCAGCGGTTTCGCAGATATCTTTTTTCAGACAACTTTTTCCGTCGATATTTCTTCTGAAAAAATGTTACAGCGTAACATGCTGGTATGTATTTACAATGAAATAGTATCTGAATCTAGGGTATTAACATTATATAAAATTATAGATCGTGCGTTTGACAAACTGTTTGCGCGTTAAACGATCCATTGAAATTAATAACGCGTACGTGTCACGTGAAGAATGTTTTTAAAGTTGTCAACGGTCTGCTCAACCGTTGATACCGTTGCATTTACCGATTTCCCGGAGTTTCTGAGAAATTCTCACCTGTCTAGTTCACGTTCCAAAATATCGTAGACGGGTGTCCGTTCGTTCCAGTATGCGTTTCTGCGTCGTCGCGACGAACCCTCGAAGATGTTGGTGAAAAATGTCGCGTTGTCTGGCAATGCGTATTGGAACTGTATGTTCTGACCGTAAACTAAAATTCTGCCAGATAGTTGCACGGGTACCGCGAGGCCCACGATCAGCTTGACAGAAATGCAACACAAGTGTTGAGAAAAACGACGAGATTTCGGGCTGAAATTCCGAATGTTTTATGCTACCTGAAACAGATCCTATCCCGAAGAGGTTCGACGAAAGATGGATGGATGGATGGATGGGAATGGAAGAAACAAACGACGAGCCGAGCTCCAGTTCACTAGCCACTTCCAGCCCGTTCATTTTCATACGCGATGGAGCAATTTGTCCGCGACGGAGCTCATTCATCGGTTGAAAGGGAGTCCGGGCCAAAAAATTCATCACCGAAAGTACGTAAGCGTGTAAAACAGCCGGAGAATAAAAGCCGGGGCGTAATCTGGCTTTCCTTGGCCCGGAGAAACCGGATCGTCGAGACGGGAGGTTTGACGAAGCCGCTCCTGTTTTTCGCGGTGTCGCGTCGCCGATTCGGGGACGGTAGGTACAGACGTGAAAAGAAACCGTGTGAAATAGAGCTAAGGCGAACGAACGCAATAACGCCCGCGTTTCTTTTACCGCGTCGATGGAAGTGCGAGCCACGAAACACGAACTCGACGAATCCAAGATTCGAAGCATCGACAGATACCCATTAACGAGAAGCAAAACATAAATAAAAGACGCCACGAAGAAAGACCAAGACGATTTTTTTTCCTCGGAATTCCTCAAATATGCTGGCTAAGACTGAACGACTGATTAAGAGATCTCCGACATTAAAGGCAGTCCCGACATCGACGGTCCTTTGCGTTACGTCGAAGAAGTAATTGCCAGAAAGAGATCCGTGGAAAAGGAACTTTACCCGCCGGGAACTTTACAGAATTGTTAAGCGGAACTTTTGCAAGTGTAAAGAATTCGACGAACGTAAGAGGGAGGGAAAAAGTCGAAAAGGAAATGGATGGAGAAGCTCTCCCCTTTTTCCTCGGATTCGCCTCGCCTTTGAACCGTTCCTGAAGGAGGATAAACGTGCCGGATGTAATGAAATGAAAAGTCTGGGGAAACGGAATCAAAGGAACAGCAAAAATAGTTCTGCTCGACGCGCGACGGGGGAAAAGAAGTCGCGTTTATTCTCGAATCTGCATGATATTTTCTGCGTATTTCTCGGGAGAACAAGAAAGAGGTTGAAGCGACCCGAACACGATTAGGATCATCGATCGTGAATCGTGCACTTTGTCCTTTGTGGAAAGAAGCAACAAGGAAGTAAAGCAAATGTAATTTGAAAAAGCGCAACAGGGAGCCACAAGTGTAAAAGTGTCACAAAGTAGTATTGGTCGATCTTTGGTCAGACACTCGGTTCGACACGTTCATACGCTGTGAGCAATATAACTATTAATCGACTTGCGATTTTACAAACCAGAGGATTTCAATTAACGGTAGACAGTTGATAAAAATTTCATACATCCTCAGGACCAACTATTCACGTCGTATAATTTCTTGAATGTTCTGTCATGCGTGGTTTTCTATAGATTCTCCGGCGAACGTAATGCGCCGTCTTACATTCGTACGGATCGGTTTGTACTATTTGTGCGAAAGTATTGAAAGGGAACGACAGCGATTTTCGACAGTTCGGCTAGCGCAGGAGAGGGATATACGAAACACAAAACACGATGAAGGCTCGCGTTTGCGAGGGACCGATAGGGAACACAACGGGGAGAAATGAAATAGAGTCCGACAAAAGGAGGGAGTAAGAAGGAAGCAAAATTACAGCAAGTCCACGGGCTTTTTTTGCTATTCGTGGGAAATTTCGCCAGCCACGGCGAGGGCAGTCCTCGTATTTCAACTTTTGAAATACCGCTTAACCCCCATTCGTTTCCAAGATATTACGACGCCGGTGAACTTTCTTTCTTCCCGCGGCTCCCACCCTCGTCCGTTTGACTCTTCCTTTGCTTCCCACCTTCGCCGTGTGCTCGCCGACTTGTATCGCGAATTTTCACGGTCTGATTTTCACGAAATTTTGCTGTCAAGTGGACGGACGTAAAGTTTTCACGCTCGCGAGTCGCGACTACGTTCGAGCTCGGTCGGACGGTTCGAGTTCGCGGCATGTCCGGCGCGTAAAACCGGCTTAACACGCGCTCAAACTTTTAATTGTTCAACCGAAAAGATAGCGACTCGAGTTGCTCGCGGGATGCGTAATCTTCTAAGCAAAAACACGGAAGTAACGGAAAGCCTTTGGGCTTCTTCAGCGCGTCTATATCTCTCTCTTCTCTTCGGTGTTTCTTCCTGTTCGTTTCGCTTTGAAGCAGCGCTTTTTGACGCAGTGCAGCTTCGTCTGTTTAGATACATACTGACCCAGAAACGGCGAATTTTCCGTCGGCCCCTTCCTTAAGGCGAACGCCTAAATATTTGCTGCCGTCGCGACGACATCGCTCGAAATCCGGCAATCAAACGCTTCGCTCTTGGGAAAGACGTCGATCAGACATCTTCCATTTTCTGCCCTTTTGCCTCCCGACAAATTGTAACGACGCAACCCCCGTTTCTGCCTGCGCGTTCATCTGGACGCGTCAAATTCTCGTTTCGATTGCCTCTTTCCCATTTTCCTACTTTTCCGCGTTCGACGATCGGTTACCCTCGCGAACGTATCCCACATCGATTCTCGAAATATCTCTTTCCAAGCTTTCTTTCTGTTCCTTTCTCTTTCTTTCTGTCTTTCTTTTGCTTGGTAAAAAGTCTACCCCCGGTGAATCAAGGAGACGCGAGTAATTGAGAAAACCCAACTGCGCCAACGGTGGAAGCCAAGGCAAACAGTCGGTCAGGATATTTTGCTCGGCCGAGGTAGAGTGAAAACTACAGAAAGAGTTTCTCGATTTAATTAGGAAATTTGAGAAGGGAGAGATAAGGCTCGAGTTAATTATCGGGCATGGGCTGGACGGAGGGTGAGACGCGAAGACATTTCTCCACGGTTAAAGTTCCTGCTACTTCCAAGTAGACGGGAGGTGCGGACCGAGGGACAAACACGTTCCTATCCCAAGTCGCGACGTTACGACGTTTCACTCGAACTCGAGAGTTCGGTTTAGTTTGTATTCCGTTTCCGAGTACCGATTCTCCTTCTGTCCACTCCGCGGAATCGAGCGTCCCTCGGTTACGCGTTTAACGGCCACCTAATTAATTCCTCCTTGACGAGGCCGACATTCGAGATGTTAATCGCGGAAAGGAAAACAGTCTCTGGTCACAGGGGAACCTCGGTAATAGATTCCCTTCCATGTTTTTCGCGGTCTTACTCGCAGAATCCACTCAAAACTGGGACATTTACCGGCACTGAGACGGTTTGGGTTGTCACGGCTTGATCGATCCGTGTTTAAAACGCGAGTAAATACCTTGAAATTGCCGCCAAAAGGATACACCAGCGGCGGAGGATAGAGCAGTTGCCTTTTCTCACGATGTTTCTCGCTACTGCTTCCTTGAATCGGACCCGCTCCAAGAAGGGCTAAGAATAGAATCACCGTCCTCCGTTCTATCACGTTCATCTAACCAAATACGATTATTTATCGTTTATTATTCTCTGTTCACGACTACGGGTAGCAAAGAACATTTTTCTTTGAACTCCCTGACAGTGCAGTTACTCACCTCGAAGTCGAAAGAAGGTGGATGGAGTCCGGTCGCAATCAGGAAGCCAGTTACGTTCCACCTACGTTCCCTCGAGCACAAAGGTCTTGCAGTTCTACCGCGAAACTCGCAATCTCTAGTCTGTCGAGCATCCCGGCTTGGCGGCCATCTGAACTTCCAGTTCCTCGACGAAAATTAACGTGTCATCCGTCAACTCGCGACATAGTTACACCGGAAGGCTTTGCGGCTGACTGTACCCAGCTAAATGAGCTAATTTTCCGCCGCAAAGAGATTCCACCGAGAGGGTACGCTGTTCCGAAGCATTCGTTTGCTCGTTGATCTTTCGAATTTATTTACCACGCTCTTGTCGACCCTAGTCCACGTCCCGCTAACGAGAAGAGAAAATAAGGTTTTTTTTTTCACCGTAAATGTCCAACTATCCCAGGTGACTCGGAACTTTGAAAGCTCGACCGCTTTGAAACGAGTATCGTTGCACGGGACGAGCACGGGAACGCGGAGAACGATGAGATCGCGATTCGAAGTTTGCTGCCGCTGTGACAAGACAGGGATATGAGTTGCGCGTGTAAACAACCGTAACGGGGAGAATTGGTACATCGTAGACTATCCACGCGCGACTCCAAAGTGGTCGATTACAGTGGACAGTGGAAAAGTTGTAACGTGTTGATATTACGTACTTCGTGGAAAGAAAGTTCGGGGTCTGAAAGATCGGAGAACAAGTAAACAGAGTAGACAAGGATATCTTTCGTCGACAGCACGGAAGCACTGCTTACCTTCGCGGGCACGATTACCGAGCTCAAAACTTATCGTATCTCCTTTCTTACCAAGCGCTTCAAAATGATCCAGATTGAAGTTTCGAGGATTCTCGATCGCAAAGCGACTTTCCAAAGCGATTTAGAAATACATACATAAGTACATAATACTTTTATGCGATGTCCAGAAGTCCCGCTACTTTAAATATCTAACGTTCGAATCTTAAGTGCATGAAAGATCTCGAAGAAATAAGTTCCTCTAGTTTTATATTTTTCAATTCAATAACAGCGGGTATTGCTTTCTAGCAAAACTCCCTTTCATCTATTCAGCGAGCTACATACAGTCAATACACGCATTTACTTTCCTTTGTAATCTTCTCCACACTCTTGTAGACAATAGTCAAAATATCCAACATTTGGTTGACAGTCGGTTTCGTCCGCCGCGATAGCACCGAAATCCGAAACAAAAGGGTCATAAATCTGTACCTTTTGAGTAGGTATAATATATATCTACGCTCACGAATTCAGCGGGGTCAAGTAGAACCTCCGAAGGAAAAGTTTCCTTTATCATGGTATAATGGAAAAAGTAACAGAATGCTATTCCTTCAGGGAACAACCAATCAATTACTAGCAACCGTGTTCACCTTGGCTCTAACCAATCACGCAAATAGCATATTTTCGTACCTTTCCTACTTTGTTCGAAACGTTAGTCTATCAGAAAGAGCGAACGAGTCAAGACTTAGTACTGTGTTCTGTCTTCTGTGTTTTGTACTCTCTTTACATTTAAAAGACTCCTTTATCCGTATTTAATCGTTGTGTTAATTATTTGTTATTTGCTATAATTAATGTGCCATGTACACTGTCTCTGTTATTTTAATTCACATCTAATATTCTTATTACGTTGATTCATTTTGAGGGCTCGCGTATTAACGGTGTCGAATAAATTCGTAGCGGAGATTTTCGACGTCTGTTTACTCGAACAGTCACAAGTGTAATCTCATCGAGAGTTCGCGCAAACACACATCCATACATACACATGTACGTAAGTATGTATTTCTAGATGCTCAGCGAAAACGCGAGCGGGAGAGTAACGAAACACAAACGAATAGTTTGAAGTGGAAACGGAAAAAGCAAACAGGAGAAATGCGATTGAAAATCGTGACAAACGGGTACGTGAACCGAGACAAGTGAACCAACTGGGAGAAAGAGAGAGCACGAGTCGTGGACAAAAAGACCGGCGAGGCGCGTAGCCGTCTTACGTTGCATTTCTGGCGATTTTACGGTGTGTCCCGACAGGGAAATTTACTTAGGACTTTTCCCGTGTCTCGCTTCACTTTCCTGGACGATCGTCCGGGTGAAAATCGAAGAACCGACTTATGGTTGCGTCGTCTAAAAGGCATCGCAAAAAGCCGTCTACTCTTATCGATCGGTCGAATTGAATGCCGAATGAAATGTTATCGTCCACTCTTTGCTACGTGAACTGCCCGCGTCGATCGCGACTGCCGTATCAAATATCGTTTCGATCGCTGTGCCTTCTCTGTTATTCGAAAGAGTGATCGATAACTCGAGGATAACTTTCGCGATATGTGTCGCGATGAAATCTTGCAACAAGTATCCGCGACATGTTTCGACAGACACAAAATAACTTTGGATATCATTGTACGAGAAGGTAATACAATTCGAACGAAATAATATTTTATTCAGTTTCAAAGGTGTTTGACAAATGAAGGACGCTGGTCTCGATCGGGGATGGAAATCGCCGTTCGCGATCGAGAAGCAGACGTTTAAATCCAGTATCCCCAAGGGCCTAGGGGAACGCGATCTCCGTGAAAGATTCCAAAGGTGAATCGATGCAATCGGGGTAGGCCAAGACGCAGTCGCCGCCAGATCTTCCCAATCGTTCCGCTTCCAGATACATTTCGTCGACGCTCCGACGAGTGGAATTGGCTGTCTCTGGCAAATCCTCGGTCGGCCTGATCGAAAAATTCGCGTTTCCATTTCAGCGCCGTTACACGGACGGTTCATTAAACCGGGAATAATTGTCCGATACAGAAGGGTCGAAATTCGAAACGAACAAGCATCGATAATCGCGTAAAGAAATATCGCCGTTATTACTGACAATCGGCGTACTTACACCGTGCCGGTCGGCCAGTCGGCTGGCGATCGTACCGTGGATGTTTCGCCGAGATTAGGTCGGTCGAAATTCCACGGTGACGCGTGTATACGGAGCAACACTACAAAGCGAAAACGTACGCGAAACACCTTCCATTAGAAGCTTAATGCATGCGCCTAACTTGGTCGCAATTAGCGCCGCCTCCGCTGGTTCTGTTGCAATTTCCTTTCGAGTACACGTCGCCGCGTTTCGAATAGTAAATACGTGTCTGGATTTTCCAACCGTCCGATAGTCCGACGAATGCCTCGGCTTCTCCAACTGGTCCCGTCGATCAGCCAACAATTAGATCTTTCTTTCCCGTTTACGCCCCGACGAATCTATCGCGTCGAATTTTCACTGTGCCACGCCGAGTTACGAGTCAGCTCCAAGAGGCGAATTATTTTCATAAGAATGTCCGAAATGTCAACACGCTGTTCGAAGCGGGACCAGGCGATTAATGGTACCAATTCGAACCGTCGAAAGACTGTGAGAAAGAACAGAAGCTAGGGGACACGCGGCGAAACAATTCTTTCGCCTGGAAGAAATCTCACAGCTTGAAACTGTTAGATCGCCGGTGTTCGGCAACAAAATCGGGAAAACAAATTAACCGTATACAAAATGACGTTGTTATTTTTGCGCGAGCCAGGCGCAGGTGTCTCTAACGAGGTCCTTCGGCGTTCCGGGACGAGGCTCCCTTCGCGCAGCGCGTCGATTTACTAAATTCTCCCAGTCTAACCAGCGCGGCCCACTTTATCGCGAGAGAGCAGGACAGCCATTAAGGACTTCCAACGGAATTCATTAACCGGAAGCTGCTCAAGAAATGAATTTCGTTTCGGAAAGTACGCGCGTGCGTCCTGGCTCGCCGAGCGGGAGCGCGATTTCTCGCAACGAACTTACGTTAAAATTAAGTGGATCACCTCCTCGAGGACGTCCTGGCCTCGTGTCCTGCCAAATGGTGTCCCCGCGAGCTCGCAAATGGTCCTTAAAAGACACTTCTTGCCGTCCCGCCAGCCATGCCTGCGCACCGAACATTCAATTTTAATTTTCAACCAGAGTTCTCCGTGCCTCTCGCGCATCCGTTTCCTCCTCTTCATACTATTCATCGCGCCAACCGTTTTTTCCCCCCCTTCCGTTTCGACGTTCTGTTTCCTCGTATATCAAATGCGGCGCGGAAGTAATTTTATTAGAAAGTTACGCGGCGGCGAGCTAAGTACTTGGCGAACCGCGCCCCGAGACAGTATATTGGTTTTATAAAAACGGCGAAAGAGAATTCTTAAACGCGTTTCGCCCTTCCACCCTAATTCCCGCATTAAGAAATTCATCGTTCCGACCTCGGCTACCGTTTAAAAAAATCACCGCAAAACTCTTCTCATCGAAGCAACTAACGATCCATTTTTCGCGACGTTAATGTCTCATCGCCTTATCCCCGAATCGGCCCGGACGCTTTCCTAACTTTCAAAGCGAACTGGTTCTCTTGTTGCCGACACTTCCCGTCTTCCGCACCCCTTCGACGCCCAGGTAATTTCCTTATGTTCCAATTAATTTACGTTCAAGTTCTTGCCTCTGCCTCGGCTGGCGCTCTTTGATCTTGGAACACGCGATGCTCTCTCTCGGCCTCGGGGCCAAGAACGTCGCCTCGAAGAGCAATCGCATTTTAGAGAGCAGCGTCGCGATCCGAGCGGATTCGCGCGATCAGAGGCACTCGTTTCCGTGCCTTTGAGTTCAGAAAAACAGACGCCGTGACCGTTGTCGTACTAACTAGAAGCGTTTCAACGAAAACGCAACTCTGCACGATGTTCCGAACAACGTAATTTCCGGGATACATACGAGCATTTTTATCAAGAACCAGTCGATCGTCCCTCGGTTCATAAAACGAATTTCGAGCGCAAGCCAACCGCGATAAACCCTGGACTATCGTTTGTTTCGCGTAATCAGCGACTCATTGTACGGTTCGTCGATGGTAAGCACGCATGTGGCGAGCCGGTTTGGACGATTCTCAGCTAGAAAATGAAGTTTCAATTAAGCGATACCGGGCCTGGTCACGACCAATTTCAGTCTCGTGTTAATTACGAATTTATGTTCACGTTTCTAGCAGTGTTTACCGCTTTATTAGGGAATTTTCGGTGGTGTTACGCGCAGGCGCTGATTATTCTTTCGGCTCCAGAATGCAAATTGGCTATTGCTCCCGTCAACCGAAACGACCGCGCGACTCGGTCGAGATTTCGGGGATTCGCTTCGCTGGAATCGCCCAAACTCACCGGTTCAATGTATTCTCGATCGTCTCGTAAGTGTCCTGGAGACTCAAGTCCCTCGCCTCTCTGGCCGGTATTATTGTAGGCTCGAGTTCCGACAAGTTCGATGGAAGTTTATAATTGAATTGGAATGCAGAGGAGAACACCACACCGCCCCTTTTGTTCATGGAAACCGGAACCGAGACACCCATCGTGAGCTGGAAAATGGAACGGGCAGACACGGATCAGAAGGACGGATTCGTTTTCGCTAAACAAGTTTTCGAGCTGCGCGAAAGAATTCGTCGAGAAACGAGATTGGCTGATTGGTCCGATCGGTCGGTTAATTTGAATTGTCGTTGTAAATGTTTCACGGGAGACTATGTATGTAATCTAGATCACGCGTGATAGTTTTACGAGAAATCGTAGATTCAACGATATACAGGGTGTTCGCAATAATTTGTACCATCGTTTTTTTTCGTAAACGGTAAACATTAGAAAAAAACTGAACAGGAGGAAGTTGTAGTATATTTTACTAGTAATATGATAGCTTGTCTAAAGCTTTTGTATTTTTAATATTTTTGTAGAAACGAAGGTGACCTTCATTTTTTTAAATGAAATGCTACATATGTTTTTATATCATATGAAAGCTGGCATTAAGACGAGTTCAACCATGTAGTATACTATGGTCTTCATGATCATACAAGGGCAGAAATAAAAGAAATAAATTTAACTTCCATTAGCAAGAATGCATTTCTGAGAATTTATTTTTGCCTTTTTGATTTAACTTCCTCCTCTTGGGGTTTTTTTTCTAATGTTTACCGTTTATGAAAAAAACGATGGTACAAATTATCGCGAACACCCTGTATACAAATTAATGTTTATTTCCTGCTTCGAAAAGGGAAATGTGTAGAAGCCTGATCTTCAAAGCCCCTGAGTTCTAACTATAACATTTTCGTTTCTCGACAAGGCGTTGCGTAAGATATTCAAATTATATACGCGAGTGCGGGAAGTCAAAGCCGGTGAACCTCGATGTTGAAGTGAACGGTGTGCTTAACTGTAACAAACTACGTTTTGGGTTCGAATCCCAAAGTAGGTGAATTTTTCTCCGATTTTCCGTGGATCCTACAATACAGCTTCGTGTGTACTTTCTATGGAAATGCTGCGCCCCGGGGGAAAAATATCGGAACTGGCAACGTAGCACCGATGACGGAACGACCGGCAAAACTTGGTCTTGACTTCGTTCCAAGGCCCTGTCCCAATACATACCTACATACGTCGCGTGTTCTGTTGCGTGAAATTAAAAGAATGAGAATTTATCGTGATTTCACCGTATCGGAAGGAAAGTTTGCGTTTCACGAATCTACGACAAATTCATAGTTTGTTCCGTATCGCGATTAACGACGATTAACGGCGATCGCAAGTGACGTGACACTAAAGACTCCAATTGAACCGGATGAAAAGGAGGACGCTTCGTCGAAGGCGGCGCCTATCTTATAAAACACTTAGTAACCGATAGCATCTTATCGAATACCGAAGAAAACTGCTTTCGAGGGACTGTTGAAAGGTAATCTTTCATCTAACCCGCTGCCTACTCCTTGACTTTCGGTTGGTTTATTTAACAGCCGTCTCGGCCGCTTTCGCGAGCCAGTTGCGAATACGCCTTTAAGCCATCTTTTCGCGAGATTGCTTATTCAAACGTTCCATGGAAATCCCTTATTAAGAAGAAATCGCTCCCCGTTCCTCGGTCTTTCGTGGCAGCCGGGGTTTCGTCGGCAAGCACCGGAACCCTCGAGCGTCTTCGTCTTCCTCTTCGGCCGTCTTCGGCAGAGAGCATTAAGTATTCAATGCAAACAGAGGCGTAATCTAATTGAAGGAAAACTGGCGAAGGAGTGTTCGTTATCCGGGCAACCGTCTTAATACGGTTCACGAGTCGTCTACTAAGATAAGTCGCATAGTTACAACTGCGTTTGTCCTCAACTGTCGTAGTCATCGTCTCGTTACTGGTCCACGGCAAACGTTTAGAAAAGTTAAAAAACCGTGATCGACGAGACACTCACGCGAATTCTGGACGATTACACGTTCAATCGAAAGTCTTACCTGAAACAGAGTTTTCTCCGGGTACAGTAAAACACTTTGGCTGTTCCAAGGCAGCGATATCAAGATCGACGCTACCGCGTATAATAACGATGGAACCATGGTGAATGCTTTCGGTATCACGGCACTCGACGTTACGTCTTACAGGAACGTTTGGCTCTCGGTTTCGGATCAGTGGTCAACGAACTGTCTACGCGTAGTCCGTGTTTCGTTCGTGTTCGTGTCCACGAGTTTATAACAACGCGATAATGAACGCTGAAATTCACGGCCGGATGCAATGTTTGCCCTCGACAAACCTTTGTAACCGGAAATTACGGGTCGGTGAAAAATTCTGCACCGTTAGCGGTGACAAATCGTTGGACATTTTTTCCAGAATGTTGAAACGGCGCTAATGAATCCCCCTGGAAATCTGCATACGTTTTGATCGTCATTACGGAAACGCAAAGCTCGCGATGAGCACCGAACATTTGGAATTGTTTGTATTTTCGACAATCGGTCACGTTACGCGATTGCGTTCTCCCCCACCCTCGATTCGTGTCGGGTCGACTAGGTTATTTGATCCGTCCCGTAATCTCGTTTCCCCGAATCCCCGAATGTCTCCCTTCTTCATCAATTGTCAATCTTCCTAGTTACAAGATTCGCAAAGGGTCTCCGTTGATAAACGACAAAGCGAAATCGAGTTTGAAATTCCTGCTTGATCAGACGGTGGCCGCTGATAGGTCGGCCGATACGTCGTGACGAGCTGGTATTATCGCGGAGTGTTCGGAGGCTGCTTGGAAAACCGGCGCGCGCGATTCATCGGTGCACGAGCTTAACCCCTGCCAGCGATAGCGTTGTAAATCCAATAATTGCCCGGCCCAGCCCGTTAAGCAGCTTTAATTAATTCCGTTTCCAGCGTGCCACGATTAACGACCGAAGTTGAATTAAAATCTCATCCGAGGACACTCGCTGCGAGAGTTTTCCCTCCTCTATCCGTTCCGCACATACCCTTCCCCCGTTCGTATAGCCGGGCTTTTGGTATTCGCGTTCCATCGATGCGGCCGTTTATTTCTCTCAAGGCATTCGACATCGAAGCTCGAACGCGCAAAGCGTTTCTTAGCAAAGACGACGCTGGGCGGTAGATCAGGACGACTGGCTACGAATAACGATCCATTTCATTCGCATCCCTTTCCGTCCTCCTTTCTCTCTAACTCTTCCTTTCTCGTATATCCATCTCGTCTTCTCGAGGTCCACGAAAATTTGCCGGGAAATACGAGGTGGAACCCGAGCTGCCGTTCCTTGGACATTCGAACGCGACCTTGCAATCCTTTGCGGGAAATCAATTTCAGGGAAGCGAGTTAAAGCTTCCAGATAACGCGCGCGTCCACACACACACACACACACACACACATACACGCGACATTGCTTTCGTTTCCAATGCAAAGAGCATTGGTAAACCGAAACCGAGAAGTCTTCGACTTGTATTTCAGTTTAGATTCTTCGTTGACTTTATGCTTCGTATCTTCTTCTTCTCGTTTTATCTCGTCTAAAATATCCGCACCCGGAATTGATCAGGACTGTATCGTGAGTTCGAGGAGTCGTTTTAACTAGAAACTTTTTCTTTCCATCGTATCTGGAGAAACTAGCGTGATTACGGGGAGCAAAGCTACGTACATTGTATATCGAGAAAACGGCGATACGCCATGGTATCGTAATAACCAGAAAGAGAGGGATTACGTTCATAAGCTCCAACCTTTCCATTCGTTTCGAGGAAGCACAAAGTACTCTCGTAACGGAACGAAGCATCGATTGTTCCTTCGATCTTTGGTTCGCCGTTTCGCGGAATTTCTAATTTCCCTAAAAGAATCTAAAGGAAGAAAATCAAGCGTGTGTGCTGCAACGATGGTTGGTGTTAGTAAAAGAACAGTAACGGGCCAGAGAATCAATAGGAAAATAAAGAACAACGAGTCGCGACAAATTCGAAAGCAGAACTTCTAGACGAAATCTCGTTGGTTGGATGGATAAGCTAATTGCGTGTAAAGTAGAAGGCCCTGCGTGCGACGCGACCTCCCGGTTGTTTGTAATCGAGACGCGGCGAGTTTTCCTCATTTTACGTTCGCGTGTCTCGTAAAGGTTGTAGTAACAACGCAATAAAATCTGTTTTATCTATGCCGGAAGTAATACGTTCGCGTCTGTGATAAATAGTAAAGGCGACGCCATTTATCTTTATTTAACGCCGCGACGCACTTGTTTGCTCGTTCCTCGAGTTATCTTGTTCCCAGGTCGAAAGGGAACGACGGCGAGGGAACTGTTGCTCGCGAGAGGAAGCATTTTTCCGAGCAGGGAGATGATCGTGTAATTGTAAATAGATCTGCAAGTTTGCCTGTTCTTTTTGGAATAGTCGATGGCACCGAGCGAACGTTCAACGGAGTGGTACCATATTGTTGAAAGAACCGTTGCGCTACCTGCGCGACGCGACACGCGGAATGCAAAGAGGGTGGTCGGTTGGAAAACTGAAAATCTCCCAAGACGGTACTTAATTGGAGGAAGGCAGGAAAGAGACATTTCGAAGCTTCTGAATTTTAGAAGCGCGCCACGACGTGATCCGATTACACTGCACCGGGTAGAAGACAGTTCCTTGAGGGTCTCGTCGTAAATTACGATAGCTTACTGCCTGGAGGGTCGTTCGGCTGGACCGTTGCGTTGTTCGATCGAAGGGCACGTCCTCGTCCGTGCTTTACCTCCAAGCCCGCGACGACGCCGCAGCATTTCTTGAATATTTCAGCTCGGATAATAGTTTTCGCGAGATTTCTCGTTCGTATGGTCGAGTCTGCCGCGTTCCAGGACGCGAGTACGAGGCAATTCGAGGAGAGTCGAAAGAAACGTTGGAGTTTTCGATGCGTAAAATCGAATTTGGCAGTGATCACGCGCTCCCTTGGAAAGTTATGAACAATGACGAAGAACGCGGGGAAGCGAATCGACGCTCGGTGTTCGAAAGAATATACCTGGGTAGGTACACGGATATGTTTGTTTATTTCCATTCGCGATCTCGATATGATCCACGAATCGGCTTTGACTGGGAAAACAGGCTCGAAAAAAAGAGGAACGTCGCGTCGTATCTTTTCTCGCGACACAACAGACAGATAGTAGGTATCTCGCAGTCTATCGGGGAATCGAAAGCACCCTTCGCGAAGGGTTAGGTTACCCATTTTCTCCGCCTCGTTTTTCATTCTTCCGTCGTTACTTTTCGTCGGCGGTCCGATGAACTCGAATGAAAATACAGCGGAGGAAGCACGTCTCGCGGAATCGTTCGCACTATCATCGTGGCTTCGTAGCAGACCGGAATAGTAATGAAGAAACTAGACCCATCCGTCCATCGGGGCTTGACTGATTTTCACTCAACGGGACGTGTAGGTTGTTGTGCACGGTGGGTAATTGAATTTATTTATTAACGAGCAGGAGAGTTTTGATTCACTCGTCACGCCGTCCTGGAATAATAATGACGAGGCAAACCTTGGGCTCCGCGTCTATTGGGATCAAGTGAATTTTGCATAAATTTCACCTTTCGCGAGTAGGTACATCCGGCGTTGTTCCTGTTCCCTTCGTCACATTGTAAAAGAAACCTCGGTGCCCTAAGTGGACGTGGAAATGGTGGGTACGGATTTCGTAAAAATTTATCCGAAGCAAAGCCAGGGAAACGCTATTGTTGAGCCCGAGAAAATGTGGCCCCGCGAAATATTCACTATTTTCACGCACGGCTGTTCGTAACGTCGGATTACAAGCCAATCCTTTTTCCACTTTTTCGCCATATATTTTCGTCAGCTATCCCGCGGCATCGTGTACGCGCATTCCATTGCGAAAACTTCCCGCGAGATTCTATTAAAATTATGCGCGATCGCGTGAACCGGCGTGATGACGCGAAATTTGTGTTTTCCCAGTGGAATTCGCGCGCCGAATAACAAACACGTTTTACTCGGCCGGTGGTAATCGGACGCTTTTATCTTATCGCTGTCCAGACCTGTCACGAATTTCAGTCAAACTTTTCCATCCTTCCGAATTGTACTCATCCCGAACCTACACTTGACGAGTTCGCTCGAATTATTTGTAACACTTCGCGCACCATTAAATTTACTGATTTATTAATCATCGTGTCCTCGTTATACCAAGTTATGCCTCGTGAAGAAAAGAAAAACGCATCTTTGTCGCGAGCTAAATAAATTATCGAGAATAATAAGGGGTTAATTCTCATATCCCGTGGCAAACGTTCTGCTCCACCGAGGATATAATCTTTTTCCTGTTTTTTCTCTTCCACATTATACATACATACATACATACATTTATACATACATATTTATGTATACATGCATGTATGTATATACACTGTGTAGACGTTGATATCTCTCTCCCTCTTTCTCTCTCTCTCTGACATACTTTCCCTGGAGCTTTTAAGCGTTAGAGTCCAGCGCAACGAAGCTTCCTGGGATCCGCTTTTAATCGATTTCCTGATAGAATCGATGAGAATCGATACAAGTCCTCGGTGATGTACGAAGCGTGACGCTTTGGAAACGATTTCTATTGAATACTACCGTACACAGTGTGACGAAGAGCGCGTCGATTACCGAGGTTTTTTTCATACATTACCAAAGAAGTAGTTTACCTCCAATGTTTTCGGGGTTAGAAAACACATTGGATGCTGCGAAAAAAATGATGCAGCAGTCGCAAGTGCGACAAAGGTGACGAGAAGGTTGGCAACGAGCTTTTCTTCTTATTTAAAGAGACTCGAGCCCAACATTCGACGTATTCGGGTATTCTAATCGGACCGCAGCCCGAGTAACTCGGTTCGTTTGAAGCAAACCAACTCCGTGAATGCTGAGGATTCTTTAATTTCGGATTCCGACGAGAACCGCCGGGCAGAACTCGACGATTGCTGCGGGTACTTTTAGGGAAATGAAACTCGGGACCGGGAAAGCTCGCGGTGGAATGCTCGCGGAAGCCGGCGAAGTTAAGAAATGCTTTCACGGCAGCTCCCGACACCTCGAGAAACGGCGGTCCGTTCGAAGAGATGAATTTTAGGCATCGCTTCAAGACAATCTAGCTTTGAACCCAGCCACGCTACGGGAATT